GATCTAAAAATGCATTCAAACCTGGTTAAACAACAAAACTGTCTCATTCTCAAAGAAACCATATTCCATCATCAGCATCTTTCGTTGTTAAGCGCACCGAAAAATCCCATTCATAAAGATCATTCACCTTGGAAAGGTGTGCACTAAATTTCAGTAAAGACGTCGCATTGACTGAGCATTTTTTTCATTCTTTGATTGTTTAAAATTTGTGAAGTTCAAAAAACTACTAAAAAAGGGGTCCGTTTTTTGACAATGCTGTATATATTTTTTTGAATTCTTCGTTTGTGTGATTTTCTCCCTTCGCTCGCATAACACACTAATACGATTCAAAACTGGTACGCAATCCATTCGAATTTTTCGTTCATTGAAAACACCCGTTCGTAACCGATTTCTATGTGATACGCTTTCGTTGAGTTCGTTGTGCGTTGCCGGTTTGTCAGTGTACATTGTTGAATCGTGTAACGTGTAACCCATCATTATAGTGCTAGGCACAGATGCTAGACTTTGATTCTTTTTTCTCTGTCGATAGTAATGGTAAAAAAAATCCTAATAATAATAGCAATGATTTGGCGCAAATATAGAAGTTGTTTGAGCCAGATAAATCATATTGCATCAAATCAAAAAGTAAAGAACTTATGGAATACTGTCATGAGCGACACCAACCGTTGCCGATTCAAAACCGTCATGTGTGGATTAAAGCACGTTTATTCCGTGCAAAAAAATATGTTTAGTTTTGCAACGAATCCGGTTTAACGTTTAGAAAAGTGGGGTTGTCTTTCCGGAATTTTAATTAAAATTTTGAAATAATAATTTCACTTTTTTATCGTTAAATGAAATCTACCCTTGTATCGAGATATTAGAATGTTTGCCGTTTTGTAATTTATAAATCGAGTTGTTGAAAAATATGCGCAACCATAAATACAGTGTTAGAGTAGGTATAAAATTCGAGAAAAATATTTTCTTGTTTTATTTTTCTTTTCATCACGGCCATTCACGCGAAAAATTTGCTAATCCCATTCCTTGCACTCGGAAAACATAAGTGACAGTTTTCATGCAATAAATGCCAAGTGTGTTATTGTTATTTTCCTTATTGCATTTCTCTTACCTGTGTTTTCTTCCGTGTTTCGTCTGCCTTTCTATTTTTTGCGATTAGTAAAATCGTCTCCCTGCGAGTATCATATACATCACTACTACCGACAACCATAAAAAATGCATTCAATTCAGTTGCATTAAAAAAACACATGCATAAGATTAAGAAAAAGAACACAAGGGAGATGCATTGCTTATGCAACATACCGTTATGATGAGAGACGAGAAAAAAAAATGTGCCAAGTCATTTGAGACACGGTGGTGGTATCGGAAGCGAATGACATTACCCTTATATTGATTTTGTGAAGGTAAAAAGATGTGTCGGTTATCAAAGGGCGCACATACAAATATTTGTATGAATTGATGCGCATCGCAAAAAGTGAAAAAAAAACACAGACAGAAATGCATTATTCGATCAAAATGATCTCCTAGATGACTCAACACGATTTGGTAAGATATATTTTTTTTCCATCTCATGTTGTTGTTTTACCCGTCTGTATTTTTTCCCGTTCGGTTTCATCACACGATGCATTGTATTTGCTGACTATTCGTCTGGAATAAACGGGTACATTTGCCACTATTTTAAATTTCAATTTTGTTCTTTTACCCAATTTTCAACTATTTGTTTGTTTCATTTTTTTACGATATGAAAAAAGAAATCAACCCTAAATTTTGTTGGTTTTTTTTTTCGAAAAAAAAGGAAAAATATCAGTCGATTGAACAATGAATTGAAAAAAAAAATCGGTGCTGGTAACGGTTTATGCCAAATTAATAAAATGAAATTCGACAAAGCAAAATCTATTAAACAAGAGATGCGACACTAGCCCGAACCAAACGAAAAAAAAAAAATCCAACCCGAACTAACTCGTTTTGCTGTCGAAACTACTTAAATTCAAAAGGGGGTGAGTTTGATCAAATACAATGCATCGCAAAAATGGAATCTTTTCACTATTTTGGAAATAGTTCTCTTTTTTTCGAGTAGAAAACACACAAAACGAACACTTTTTCGTGTGCTATTGTGTTGTTTTTGAAGCGTGTTAAATTTCGTCGATGTAATAAAGGAAAGAGAGGGAAAAGGAGTGTGCACATACATTATTTCGCACTAGTTACGCTGAACAATTGCATGATTTGGCTCATCGTTTTCACATATATATATATTTTTTGGTCGGAAAAAATATGTGTTTTCAGTCAGTTAAATTAGCAGTGTTTTTGTATAAATATAAGGGGTATGAGCCAAAGACATTCTTACACACTGAACCTACCTATTTTGAGCAAATAATTCTATCCGATCGCAATCGCAGTCGATCCAAAATTTTAAATTTCAAATACACAGCAGCTGCGTCATTTAAAGCTATATATTGTGACAACCATATGACTCAATCTCCAAGTCGAATGAAATTTTATCATAACGTTTCATATCGCAAACGAAATTGTTTACAAACCATTTTTGCGTTTAATAAATAAATTAAAATGATATGGCGTCCGCGGAATATGCGTGGTGGAATCACTGTTTCAAATGAAAACAATTAAGTGATCAAGAGTTTATAGTTGCAATGTAATAAAAGAGGAGGAAAAATTGCAAACAAATCGCACATTTGTTGATAATTTCACGATAAGTGCATACGTCCAGAATGTGTTATCGCCACTATAAATATCGTCACAATTGCTTGTTTAGTGTAAAATACCAATTACGTACATGCATTACGTCAAGCAAAGCAAACATAATAATCTGTTTAGAAAAAAAGAAATCAAAACGACATATCTAGGCTTGAGGAGATTATTAAACAAAGAATTTAGAATATTATGTGAATGCATGTGATGATTGCCCTTCAAATATGTAAAGTAAGTCATTGTACGAAGGCAACGATCAATATAACGTGTGACGTGTGACATGTTGCAAACCAAACTGAAATTGCATTTAAGTACAAAGTACAAAATACTTACCGCGTTTTTTTCCATTTTCCGTGGCGCTATATAGTTTACTCCGGCAACGAATATACTTTAGACATGAATGTAAACGAGTCACACGTTAGACTGTGTCTGTTTGCATGCAATGAATACAATTCTCATTGTATTGAGGCCATCGTAACGCACTTTCTGATAAGATTCTGATTTCAAACAGAGCACAGTTTCCAAAGCCGCTCAGTTCAGTTTTAAATTTGATGTCAGGTATACATAATACATAATTTTATATCCATTTCGAATAAAATAGTCAGTTAAAATTGTTGTTGCAGTTTTACTTAAATTTATTTTAAAGCGTTTAATTCATAATAATAACTAAAGTCATCAAATTTCATCATAAAAGCCGTCATTGCGTAAGTGTCAGTTAAATATTCGCATTGATTCCTATGTTGGCATGGATACAACATTCTAATTAATATTAATCGCATAAAAATCGAAAATTAATATAAAATTGAGAATTTTTATTTGAGAACGAATGGAATATTCATTAGTATCATGGTACATTGATTGAATGCATCCTTCATCGCAGTATGCGGTTAATTTTTGCTGATAAATTTGCTTAGCAAAAACTTGTTTTTTGACATTTTTTTTGTTTGAAAATATTTCTTATCTTTTTTTAATAGAACTGAAAGATGTTTTAATTTCGCATAATGTTTAACAGCATATCATTAGCTCTAGATTTTATTCTCTATAAAGAATTATAAACATAACGAACCATAGCATTATTATTCTTGTTTTTGGAGATAAACGGGTACTTCAGAATAGATTTGATTACACACTATTATGAGTTCATCGATCGGATCTCCTAATAAATGAAAGCAATCAAAGCGAGTATTTTGTGATAAAACACCCGAAACATTGAACCCGTTCTATGAAAACAATTTTGTTTTGTTTGCTTTTCGTTTATTTGGTATTTCTGTAGCTACTAGCAATAAAAAAAGAACAAAAAAAACGCTGTTATCTGAAAGTAGCAATGTGAATGCGTGGCGATACTAGAAAATCTAGTATTGAAATACTTGTTTGAGATCTTGCAATCTGAACATGAATATCCATTGGCAAATCAAGTTCATTTTGTACACTCATTTGCAATCAAGCTCGTACTTTTATCTTCACGCGTAAGTGAGACAATTCAATCGAAATTATAGTTTGTTTGCGTTTCGCATTGAATATTTGTTAACGCATTCGATTGGAATTCGGCCGTCTGGTCAAGTGATTAATGAGTCCGATCAATAAATCAGATGTAAAAAGAGCAAAATAGCAGACGTAAATTTAAACTATTTGCTATGTGTCGCACGTTAACCTGTAGCCACTCGTGCGAACAAGTTATATCATGGGACTTTGACGTTGTTAATTTGGTCAATGAGAAGAAAACGTCAACATATAAATATCACAAACAACAGAGATAAATAAAAATTTAAAAAAAAAATCAAAACAACATAAAAATAAATCGAATAAAAGTGAGCGTATTAAACGGCGCTCGATGTACATAATAATAAATACATTGGTTACAAATGATGAATGTGTGTGGCGCGCGCCACACAACAAAACATCAACTTGCATAAACGCGTAAATTTCAGTGTGTTCCGTTTGTCTGTCTATGTGTTGATTTGCCTGAAATCAATATTCACATTGACACAAAAACAGACAAATCCGCTCACGCATACGCCCTCAGCGTGAATGTATCACTAATGAAAAATAGAACTGCGAAAAAAGGCACGTCGCACTCATACACCTTCACAAAGAAATGTGAAGAAGAACGAAACAGCAAATCGATGTTACTGTGAATAAACACATGTACACACCAATGCGTGTGGATCACACTGGTTGCCGCTCGATCTGTTTGAATGCGATTTTGTTTCGTATATATGTGAGTGACGGTGATGATCTATACAAACTGTGTGTGACTGTCTTTGCTTCTCACTTCAGTGTGAATAAATTTATGCAAACATTGAAATTATGTAGTCGTATTTGAACTATCGACTTGTTCGGGTCGTCATACTGTGCGCAATTAGAATATTTCATTTGGATGTTTTCGATTTCATCATAAGCATTGTGTTTGTGTTTCAACATTTGCCCATTCATTTCAGAGGCTAAAATGTAAGTGAAATTTTGTTTTTATATGGTTTCATTATTCAAAAAAACATAGACACCCAAGAGAAATCTATTGATGGATGTTTTTTTTTTATTGTGCGGTATCGTTCCACGAAGTGTGTGTATTTTTATGTCTTTTGTGACAGAAAAAAAACTAACGACGTTATATACTTACGGTGCATTTGTTATCTTTAGACGAAATGGAATATTCTCGATTCGAACTTTGTTCAGAAGATTTTCACTTTTTCACTATAAGATAATCGCCCTCGATTTGATCATTTCAAAATGATTACAAAATGTTATGATAATGTTTAACTTTCTTTTTGTCAGTGACAAACGAAAAATGTCATTGTTTTTGCACTTAGAGTTAATGACTGTCATTAATTGATAACAGCTTGTGTTTGTCATAGCATCAGTGTTATGGGTGCATGAGTCAAAGATTAATTTCGACATGTTGTTCTTGTATAGATGAAAAGAGTGTTTTTGTTGCGATGATGCCGATAGAACCAGAATTTTTGACATTTCAAACGTCCGTAATTTCGGTAAAGGTTAAGACACACAATTGTTGAGCACATGTGCATACTAATTTAATATTAATATTGCAGTAGTGATTCGGGTGTTCGGTTTCATGTTCATTCACCAACCACATGCTTTTCTTGACAAATGTTAGCACAAGTGTTTTATGATATAAAATTTTGTCACACGCGGTTTTGCGTAATATGATCGTGACAACATATTTTCTTTTAATCTCAAAGCGAATGGACCGATGAATATTATATCAGCGTTTCTCTACATTCTGAGAGATTCTCTTGCCTTTATTTCCTCATTTTCAGTTTCAAAGCATGCATAAAAAAGATAAACTTAAAATAACAACCGTTCTCGCTGCGCATATTAGAAACATGTGATAGCTCTTGATACTAGAAAAAAAATTATGGCTTCAAAGCTAACAACATGAAAAAAAACGATAGAGCAAAAACAAACCGGTTCCGACCGAAAATTGAAGCAATTTTATGCGTTGATACCAATTCACAAATTTTCCATGCATTGGAAGCTATAGTCAAAGTGCAAAGTGCAAACTATCGAATATATTAAACATTCGCGAACCATCACAAAATACCAGTTGACATCTACATGCGCTTCGAAATTCCGTAGTCATAAATTTCGTTATCGCACAAGCGAAAGTCAACTTTTTAATGCAGTATCGATATCGAATGCACATTTTAATTGCAAATTATACCGGATAGTGAGTTAATCACACATTTACACACAAACATCAAATAATATAGCTGCGGTGTGCAGTTTATAACACCAATGAAATAACTCTGATCACATTTTATATTCAAATAGAGCAGCGGAGAAATAAAAGAACACATTAACCGCAAGGGATTGGGACATTAATATGAAATAAAAATATAAAGTTCATAGTTTTATATTCTTCATGTAATTTGCGATATAGTCTGTAAAACAAGTAGCAACAATTACCTATTTCGTGATAATATGCGGCGCATACATTCGTTAGCGAAATGCCTGTGTAGGGCCCGAATTGGGCATGCGCAAAGCGGCACGCATTTTTTTGACTTAATGATGACCTATTCAATAAAATAAAAATGTGAATAAAAACATTTTTTTTTTTTTCAAACAGAAAAATGCGGCGTGAGCACATCTGAAAAACAATGAGCATCCAAGTGTGTTTGCTTTTTTGCTACTGTTTATCTGTGTGTTTGGACTTAATAATTTGTACGTTTGACTTTTTTTTTCGCTGAAAATGTAAAAAAGAATATGTTTATTCGCTTGTGTTTTGTTCTCATTTCACAAGAACGATTCGATTCGGATGTTCCGATGAACACAAAGGAAATTTCAATTCATTATTGTGCCGAAGAAAAAAAATTATTTGAATATAAAATTCCGTTGAATTGTCATTTTATTCTGATGCAATGAAATGGATAGAAAGACAGAGACAGCCAGAGTCAATGTCATTGGATACTTAATATGTATTCAAAATTTTCATCGGTTGTGCGCACTTCAATTTTCTTTAAAGCCAACACGTTTTGTATGTGTTGTTTCAAAGTGCAAACGATTAAATCTATTTCAATGTGATATAGAAATGCCTATTTTATACGAATGAATTTCGCGGCGATTCAAACAGACCCAACACCACACGGTGGATACGTGTGCAGTTGGCGTCGCGTAATGGCCGGTTTGGTGTATAATTTTTTTTTTCAAACAATTCACTGGTTCTGCACCGCTGAATTTTGATATTGAAAAGAAACGTGAGTGACTTATCAAATTCGCAGGCCATATAATTGTTATCCGATGTGATGATGTGAATGCTAACATTTTTATTGAATGTTGAAACAATTGATTAAATTCACACCAATAATTTAAGTGAACAAACAACGAAAAATCTACGATCAAATTGATGTTCATACAACAAAAGTGCTCACAAAGCAAACAACGTGAATCGATGATAAATCATTTCGTAAGATAAAATGCAACGGGCTCCTGTCGGAGAGTTTTTGACGTGATTTTGACAGATTTCACCTGCTTGACGAACAAACACCGAAAAAGAATAAACCAGTTTTTTTTAGTATGTCAGACCAGTGAAGTGAATATAAAAAGGTCAGATCAGAGATGTGAAAATCTGAAATTGCAAACTCTGATGCGTTTTGCAAATGTTTCCTTGCTATTGCGCTCATTTTAATAAGCGAAAAAAAAGAAGAAAAATGATTATCAAATTCTTCTCGATTCCATTTTACATTTGTTTGCAGTGTAATTTACAGTCTTACATATACATTTGCACGTATACGCTTCGCATTCAATTAAATAAATTATCATTGCAACTGTGTGTATCTGTATATTGAATTGCAATTTCAACCAGATATTATTATATTTTTTTGTGCGATTCGTTGTTTGTTTTATTGTGTTTTTGGCGTCAGATCGCTGCCTCAACCAATCGCAAAACAAAGAAAATAGAGCAAAGTAAACTGAAACCCGGCACATTGTAATTCATTTAAACGAATTCACGGGAATTTTTTCCTTCATTCGTTTATCTATTGTGTGATTAACATGAGACAATGTCACATATCTGAGAGAATGATAAAAAATGTGACAAAATAAAAAAAATGGCAAATCTAATCAAACTGGGGGACTCAAATCATTTCCATGATTTTGATTAAGTTATCGCTTGTCAAGCGATTCACATTCCCACAGTCAATTATCAGCTTATGCAATAGCACCCACTTAATCGCATGAATGGCCAAGTATGGAAAACCGATTTCATCAATGTGATAATTTTGAGCGTTTAATTCATTTTAAACGAGTAATTAGACAATTACATTTAATCGATTGGATTTTTACAGTTGATAAATTGAACAGTTACAATTTTGTTATTCATTTTTTTTTATCTTTAAGAGAAAACATTCCATGAAACACACAATGCATTCAAATCGTGATAAAGTTGTATCCGCGCATTATTCTGTACCACAATCAGTAGATAAGGTCACAAAATTTAAATTTATCGTCGTTTGTATGCACAGACGAAAAAACCCCTATACAAATATTTTCAAGCAAAAATCGTTTTAAAAAAAACTAAAAATAGAAAAATGCTATAATCGATGGAGTAAATAATAATGTTGGTCATATGGTGAGCAATTTGCATTGATAATCATTGAAAAAGCAAATATTTTGAAGCAATATGGTAATGGTTACATAAAAAGGAACAAATAATTTTTTTCTCAATTTGAATTTCATTGTTGTGCCAATTTCTATTGATAGATACAAACTGATGCTAATACATAGTAAAATAATCGTCGAAAATTTTATGTTTCCATATCCAAATAATGCTTTCGAAATAGACACACTCATAAATATCGCGTTTTCGGGAAGCGATCGGGAATGACCTTGTGACAAATATACGCATGAATGTGGGTGAGGAAGAAAAAGACGATAGACAGTGCAACAAAAGTCGCACCAGCTTGGTATTCATAATTGGCCAAATTGGCGTATGACGTCGTTGACTTAAGATCAAAGCGAAAAAAATAAAAATAAACAATGTTTATTAAACATACTTTGCGCGACGATTGAAGAAAGTAAATAGCGGAGAAATTTCCGCATTAGAGTGGTGCTTGTTGCTATCACCCGCAATACGCATGCACATACACTGTATATCACTGCTTGAAGACGAAAAAGAGACATGATTGCATTGCGTATCAGTGATATTTCATGTAGTATTTTTACAACTCACATATCATCGCTATCATTATTTTGTAGTGAACCTTTTTTGAAGCAGCCACTGTTTGACATTGAAGATGTTATGTACGATGGTGTGATCGTTGTCAGTGCTTTTCACGCACACACACACACAAAGTGTTTCGATGAAATCTTATCACACGTTGCGTTTTATTTGAAAATCATGAACAGAATAGAAAATTAAACAACCTTTTGGAAGATTCACAAATATTTAAATTTCCACAACACATACGCATGTGCTAATAGCATGACAAATGAATGTATGTTATGTTGTATTGTATACACCAAATGCCGTTAGATTAATTCATATCACATGTCTATTATTTGGCTTAAAATCTCTGTCTCATTCATTCAACCAATAGCTGTTTGCACTGATGGAACTTTTGTATCAATTTAAAAGCCGTAATCATCGGTCGTAATGCTATATAGTAACTGTTTCGACTGTTGTACTATATTCATTTTGATTGTTTCAGTAATTTTGTTTTTAGTTACTCATATTAGTCGAAGCAAAAAAAAAATTCCGTAGTTTGCCAGAAAAATCAGATCTAATTAAATCGTTCGTATTTTTTTATAGCATCAATATAAGTGAGAGAGAAAAATCGAATTTTGCATAAGGTAGAAGCCCACACGCACAAAAATGACGGAAGCCAATGACAAACAGGGAGCTCATACCAATGGCAACACAGAGGAAATCATACCGTAAGTTTTCACACATTTATTTTTCTTTTTGACACAAAAATTATGTAAAAACATCATCATTTTTTTCAAAATTAAAACTATAATTTATAATCGGTTCATTCTAGATCGCAGCATATTTAAAAATAATTGATTAAATTAAATTTCCCTCTAAAAATACATTTTTCAATTGTTCATTTTCAGTGTAACATTACCGGTGCGGAAAATATCATGTTGTACCCGATTCACGCGATTCTTATCAATATATTGGAAGTCATTGTTTGTCGTTTTGACACCGATTGTCTTACTGCCGATAATTATACTTAACGATAGACCTGTGAGTAGTAGGCCGTTGGCCCATTTTTTTTAAACGAATAAATTGAAGCGATCGATTATTTTTACATCGTTCATTTCGCATTCAATTTTATTGGTTGACCTAACATGGTTTTTTTAATGCCAGACAATCGATTTTCATTTTATTCATACACATGCACTATTTTGTGTTTTTTTTTTATTTCAGGAAAATAGATGTATGTTCGTGGTACTATTGATGACCGTTTTTTGGTGCACTGAAGCTCTGCCATTACGTATGTTTGATATAATTTACCATTTAATATCAATTAAACACTCTCCATTTGCACTAAGTTCGATCCATTTGCATTAAATTAGACCAATTGAAAATGTACATTATTTTGCATCCAAACCAAATCAAATTGCCATTATTAGTAATTGTTTTCTTTTATAGCGGTCACATCAATGTTACCCATTGTCCTATTTCCAACGCTTGGCATTCTCGTAAGTAATTTTCTTTCCCACTGTACATTCCATGCACATTTGTTTTTCATTTTGCACGATCGAATCAATCGATTTAATAAATTTAAATGTGTTTTAGAAAACCGATGCAACGTGCATGCTATATATGAAAGATGCTATGCTAATGTTCATCGGTGGATTGATTGTCGCATTGGCTGTACAATTCTGTAATTTACACAAACGTGTGGCATTGAAGGTGATTTCGATCATTGGATGCAGTCAGAAAAAGTGAGTGATTATGAGCTATCCTACCATGTCAGCCGATTTGATGATGTTTTCTTTTCGTTTTTCGTCACTTTAGATTGAATTTCGGTTTGATTGCTGTCACCATGTTTGTATCAATGTGGATTTCAAATACAGCCGCTGTTGCTATGATGATTCCAATCATGCAAGCTGTGTTGGAGGAGCTTGAAGCGGTATGTCTTCTTCTTTTTTGATCAAATTGTTGTAAAACAATAAATCGAATACTATTTCATTTTCAATAAACAGCAAGGACTTTGTAAAATGTACGAAGACAGCAGTCCAAATGCTGAAGAGGAAGGAATGTTAAATAAGAATAAACCAGAAGAGAAGAAGACTCTTGCCGATAAGAAGCCAACCAAAATTACTGTGTGTTATTTCATGGGGGCTGCCTATGCCGCCTCGATTGGGGGCTGCGGCACAGTTGTTGGCAGCGGAACAAATTTGGCGTTTAAAGGCATTTACGATGGATTATTCCCACAAAATGAAATTTCGTTTCCAAAGTGGATGATCTACAACATTCCAATGATGCTAATCAATACATTCTTTACATGGATGTACTTGCAATGGTGTTTCATGGGATTATTCCGACCGAATAGCAAAGAAGCCAAACAATTTCAATTGGGAAAAGACGGCGAAGAGGTTGCTAGACAGGTCATTGTCAAACGTTACAATGAATTGGGTCCGATGTCATCACAAGAAATTCAGGTTGCAATTTTGTTTCTGTTATCAGTTGCGTTGTTCTTCTTACGTGAGCCAGGTAATTTCAATTCACTGCTAATCTACAGATTTCAAGTTATATCTCATGTTTGTTGCATACATTTTGGTTTTATCATCAATAAAATTAGGTTTCATGATGGGTTGGGCCAAGCTTTTAACAGACACAAAAATTGGCGATGCCACGCCGGCTATTTTCATTGTTATCGCGCTTTTCATGCTGCCGGTCAATTGGAATTGGTTGAAATTTATCACTGGCCGACCAGATGATCTACCAAAAGAAGCGACACCAAGCTTGATCACGTGGAAGTATATTAATACGAATATCCCATGGAGCTTGATTTTCTTATTGGGCGGTGGATTTGCTCTAGCAAAAGGTGGCAATGAATCGGGAATGTCGAAGATGTTGGGCACTTATCTGTCGAGCCTTTCAGACTTGCCAGAGTTGCTGTTACTGTTTTTGATTTGTCTATTCGCACAAATCGTCACCGAATTCGCATCAAATGTTGCCGTTGCAAATGGTATTTGTCTGCTTTTGAATCAACAACCCTTACATTTCAGTTCGTTAATAGAGATTTTTGGTTCAATTGGTTTTCAGTGATGTTGCCAGTTTTAGGAGAGATGGCTCTGCAAATGGGAGTTCATCCATTGAAACTCATGTTCCCGGCGGCTCTCTCGTGTTCAATGGCATTCCATACACCAGTCGGTATGTATTGTGTTTGTTATGCAATGTCATCCAAGACAATAATTTTATCGCAACTAATTCACTGTGTTCAAATCAATTTCCAGGAACACCTCCCAATGCAATTGCAGCCGGTGTAGCAAATGTTGGCACAAAAGATATTGCATTGGCCGGCATTGGTTCATCTGTAGTGACCTTGATTACGGTTTGGTTGTCAATGCCATTGTATGGTCAATTCGTGTATCCAGATACAACATCTTTTCCGATTTGGGCTTGCGATATACTACGCAATAGAACAAATAGTACTCTGCCACTTGATTGTCTTACACAGTTGGCTACTACTGCCATGCCTTTCGTGAATACAACGGTTGATGCTGTTACAAATTCTACTGTCATGCCTCTCTTGAATACAACGGTTGCTGCTGTTGTTAATTCTGTTTTGAATGCAACAGCACATTAAAGAAATCAAAATTTATTTTGGACACCAAACGAACAGAACAACTGGATAAATTCAAGAACAAATAGTGCAGCAATTTCACGCTTCCGTTTTTAGACATGTTTACACACATTTATATTTAAGCTAATCGGACTCGATATACATTCGATCATTCATTTGTCGTCTAGCTAGTAGTTGTATAAGTTGTGAATGATTTTTCTTTCTCAAATTGGGTAGAAACAAAAGTATCTTTTGTTCTTTAGTTTCCGTATATAATCAGGATATATATAATTCACTTTGTATATCAGAAAATTGGATTGAAAAAGAACAAACTCATTGTTCATAATTTATATGAATTGTATCTTGACGATTTTTCTTTTCCCGTTTTTCTACGTACATCCATTCAGAATCAAATGTGTCAATTAAAAAAACGTGAACGATAGGCAATACTTTTTTTTAGATGCATTTTAACAATGAAATCAATTCGTACAAAATGTCTATACGGAAAACCTTAATCAAAATAAATAAACAAGCAAATAACTTCAACTATAACATTAGCAATAATTCGTTAACTATGAAAGCGTTAAATTAATTTTATTCTTATTTAGTCATATGAAATGTCGATGTTTTTGTAAAAACGAACAGATATTTATGAATAAAATTCTGAATGTTTATTTTTCAATAAAATCAAAATGTTTTTCTTTCCGATTTTTATATCTCTTTTGAGTGCGTATGCATGTGATGGGCATACTTAATGATAATTATCGTTAACGATAAGAATTTAATTTGGTCGGTTATATGGTCGCAATACAGTCGACGTTTGATGTCAAGTTCAAATCTTTTTGCAAGCAAAATTATTCAGTTACTTAAGTATTGTCACGAATTAAAATCGACCTTAGTAACTGCAAACAATGCGTTGTGTTTTTTTTTAATCAATGAAATTTATCTCTTCGAAGTCAAAACTTAATGTCAGTTATCGCATATTTACCTTTATTCAATTCAAGGACATTTTGTATTCAGTGACAAAATGCGTTTTGACTCTATTTCAAAACAAATTGCTGTGGAATTGGTATGCAAATATGAATGAATAGTTTTGGTCTCACGTGCGACAGTTAAACTGTTGCGACATACTTTTACAGTGGAATAAAAGTGATCATTGACAAATAATTGGCTTAACCCTCTAATGCATTAATTTTTTTTCGAAATTCAAAAAATTGCATAGTTTACTCAAAAAATGCTATTGACAAAATTAGAGAACAATCGAATCCATTGTTTAAACTGCTATAAAATTGCTATAAACGAATGGGTGATTTGAATTGTACATATTTTGTACATTTTAACGACGTATAACTTTGGTGTTGTACAAATTCGGGTAAACATTTTCCGGGTTTTGATATTTTCAATTTTTAAAAATCCAAATTCTGAAAAATTTTTGTTGGTACATAATCATAAAAATTGTTGTACATAATTGTACATAATTAGTACATTTTAGTAGTATATACGATTTTTCGAAAATTGACATCGACCGGAAATTGACTACCTATCCAAACGAAGAGAGGAATAATTTTTTTTGTCAAATTTCTGTTTTCGCCTACATCTGTGTGTATAATTAAACAGCCGCTTTATTTTCACTTGTCAAATGACCGGCAAATGAAAGCCTGAACCCTGCTGAATATATTTTAATTCATAAATAGAATCATTTGTTTTTAATTATATATTTTAGACAATAATTTATACACCCTGCCTAAAGGCAGGGCTATGCACTAGAGGGTTAATACACATTTACCGTGTTTTTATGTTCAAAACAATCACGCTACTTACAATGGTAAGTTGTGTTTATGCTATAAAATTGATTAAAATACATTCTTATCATTTCACAGACGAATAAGAGTATACCTGTAAGATCATTAAATCATTATGATAAAAGATGTGTATTACCTACCAATGAACAAATCTACAATGAAATAAAAAATAATGTGAGACGAAAATGATTTTTTCTAAATTTAACGTTTAATATTCAATATGAAAATTACAAACGATGATAAAAAACATGGTGATCTTACCAAACATGGTTAGACATGTAATGAGTTAAGAGCGTGTAACTAAACCTAGGGGATAGACAAAAACTAGAAAACTAAGAAAAATAAGGACTTATTGGGTCCGTGTCTTCCCTAGAACTAAACATAAAATTATATTTGCAATTACAGGTATTAGAATATTGCGATGAACATTGTTGATGTGACGTTGCCGACGCATCCATTCATAAATACGCAAATACTACGGTACGCGATGAAGTTGAGCGTAAATTGGCGTATACATGCTGTTGTCGACACAGATGCTAACACGAAATTTAGTCGCACACTTTCTCGTTAGTTACTGTATTGAGAGGAGTAGAGTCGCCATTACTGCAGGTTTCACAGATCGGTAGTAATTCAAAGTTCGCTTCCAAACATTTTGCAAAAATTTCTTTGATTTGTTTTGTTGGTTGTTTTTTATTTTGTTGAATTACCTTATTTGTTTTTCTTTGTTGCTTTATTTTGCTTTCGTACATTAACCTAGGGGCTTTCATCATTCGTTCATACAAATTTATACACAATATTCACGTCCTATTCATCATATATACGATTAAAATTTCTCGCCTATACCAGTGAATAAGATGTATTTCAAACTTCAGTGTACACACACACACAGTATTGCTACACAGAATCGAAGAAGATCCGCACAAAAGAGAATGAAATAACATGCCATAGACGAAATATACACCAAATATATGCAGTTATGCACATTTATTTGCGCGTATTACAGATGATTTTGCAATATAGTTCACTATTTACAGTATAAATCGTATACATTTGAAGATAAAAGCCCCTAGACATTAACCAATCGGTATGATTTATTTTACTGAAAAATAATTGCATATCGATTGATAAAAAAGGACTCAGAATGTCTCTGTTTGTTTGTATTTATTCATTTATTTTATACAATGCATAATATAAACCTAATGAATAATGACCAAAGTAAACGTTAATGTTCTTGTCGCTTATAAGAGAGATTGTATTGTAGAATAATGGTCTACGAATTAGAAAAAAGGAAGAAAAAAATTGTATAGTGTTTTAAATTTTGGTTTTCTTTTCATTGCTATCATGTAAACGCGATTCTACTGGAATATTCGACTGATCGCAGACAAATGTATTTGTGAATGTATCTTTTGTTTTAATATTTTACTTCGAACAGTATTTCTCCCTTTTACGTGGAATAGTACCACAATTTTTTTCGATGCATACAATGTGCGTTTGATGAAACACATTTGGCTTGGCTATTTACGTAAAAAATGACTTTTTTTTAAAAAAACGTTGATAAAATTGTATAAATTTTTACCTACAAATAAAGCAATCGATGCAAAATCGATGCAAAGTGGTATAATTGAACCGATTGACTGCATTTGGGGACGTATTACAGCTCTGAACAATGAAATTTGTGATTTTCTATTGTAATTATTTTGGCGCCATTTCAATTCTAAGCTAAATTTCATTTTCATTTATTCACGATTCGTTTCGACTTTGTATGCATTATTTTCTTGTGGTCTTTTAACAAAAAAGTGCATATTTTGTACGAAATTAAATTACACTAAATACTGATTAGAATGTTTTGTTGTTTCATTTTTATTTTGACTAAATTATTCCATTTGGAAAATGTGAACATATTGTGGATATTCTGAACACAGGAACAGGCATTTTTTTAGTTGGTATTCGTCAGCTTTTCAAAAACTTTTGAAAAGTGTTGCTGTGAAACCATTCAAAATCGTTTAATTCGGATGGCCAAAACATAATCATTTAATAATTCCGCGTTTCCTGTATGCAAGATATCCACCACATGTGTTCATATTGATTACCTCAGTTTATTCATATGTTATAATCGCTACAAATATTATCTTTAGAAAAAAAAAATTGTAACGAATGTATGTTTGTCGCTTCAATTCTAAACTATGTGCGATTCCGTGTTCAAGCACCGATTCAAAAACAAATGAAGTCTAAAAGATTGCAGTCGTGTTGAAAAAATTTATAAAAAAAAATTGTACAAAATCTATTTGAATCGACACAATCTACACAGAATGGAAAGCATTTCAAAAAAGAGAAAATAAAAACATAACATTTTGCTTCATTTTTATAACTAATATGGCAAATTGGTATTTCATTTCAGTTTCATTCAATACATGACAAAAGACATGCAACCAAAAATAACTCTTTCCTTCATACGGTCATGACCACACATGATATCTGCTGGTCATGTGATTAGATAATGCTTTCTTAGCTTAATACAACAGACTTTTATTTTAATTTCAATGCCTTAATCTCTAGAAAACTGGTTTTTCTCCTTTTTGTTTTTGAATATGAATCATTTTACGATAAAGTGTGCTGTTTTATTTACAAGGCTATCCGTATTTTGTAGATTGGGTCAAAATTAGCATTACTAGAACGTTGACAAGATTTGAATTTTTCGAGGAATCATAAAACTGAGATTGCAATATCGTCTTAATTAAATGACTGTGTCATTTTGACTCTTGGTAATGTGCTATTTCGTAACTAAAATAAACCAAAAAAAGTGATCATTCACCCATTCAAACAAAACATTTGAATATCCACATCAAATCGAATCGCAACCGCTTTGATTTATTGTCGGTGGATGCGTATCACACCATATGTCATGTAACTAATTGCGTCTCCAATAGCTCAGCAATGTTATTTCGATTCAATTTGATGACGAATAAATGTGTTCCATTTCGATGAGTATTTAAACAATTTGGATCTTTGAAGTGGCTAAATTAACTGCATCACAATTTAAGCGATTGACACATTAGCGTATTTTCCTTTTTTCTTCTTTACAATTTCATAAATGATAAAAACCACGTCACATATCAATATTTTTGCATGATTTTAGTCAATAATAATTGGCCATATGGCATTAAATTTGTTTAAAAAACACATTTACACAAGTTCACATAATTCTATGGGTTTCAACTACAACTTGGCTTAAGAGTTGCTTTTGATTGATGGTGGCGATGATTCCAGGTCGGATTTGTGCAAATCAGCATAATTTGCTATAGCTCTATAAACGAATTCATATTGTGCCTAGTAGAATAAATAAAGAAATGAAAAATCTCAATCAATTTGCTATGAATGAAATTGTTGCTTAAAAGCATTAACATACATATGTGCTGAGGAACTGACTACGTTGACTACGTAATTTTCGCACAACCGTACAAACATCGACTTTCTTCTCCAATCGCAGTTGCTGCACCAATATGCATAACGTCACAAATATCGAACTGCGATCGGTGCCAAGACTGAAATTTTTTATGAAAAAAAATTATCATTTTTCATTCACGAAATTCATTATTTGACCGGCCAATTTATTGGAATCTATTTATTACCTGCAATGCACCACAATCGGACTGGATGCAAATGTTGGATTTTCATGTAATGCTAAGGTTTGATCGACTAGTTCAAGCATACCACGTGTCACCTCTGGTACTTCTCCTTCAACCGTTGGCCAGCCATTGTATTGGAATTGGGTGACTTTAATGGTATCTTTTATCTTGAAATTGGTAACATTGAATTCGCGTCGAGTGTAGTATGGACATGATTCACTTTGCATATATTTTACTAAAATGTGATCGTATTCGACTTCATCGTCAGCCCAATAGCGTGGACATTTACGTGGTCCATCGCCAATCTGTAAATATGTTCACAAAGGTTTAGTTTTGCAATTTAAAAATGTCTAAAGAGAAGAATTCAACTTGAATGTTACGTACTTCTGAAATCATTACGATCGTATTGATGCTTTGCTCGGACATCATGCGCCAAAAGTCGCCTATTGTTTCTTCCATTGGATCTTGTGTTATAATAAATGATTCCGATGTATCAAATCCCTCGATAAATGTTGCATTGATGTAAGTGGATGGCTGTGGACCTACGACGAGCAAAGAAATGAGTTTACAAAATCAGAAAATCTTGTTATTCAGCAACCAGTGTGTCAACTAATTTACCAATTGGCGAGAGAATGACTCGATTTCTATCGTATGGGATCACACTTTCACTTCGATTTTTGCTACGATTCTCTTCACTCGAACCAACCGAACAGTTTTTATTTGATTCGTCCAGAACCGAATTGAGTCTCTGAAAAATGTTTATAATTTATAAAAATGTTCATAAATTAAAAAAGCGATAGTGAATGAAGTAAAGAAAATACCTCAAATTCTATTTCTAATTTGCATTGGTCTCGGCTGTCGTTGGATCGTTGTTTCAGTTGTTCAACGGTGCTATTGAGATCTTTCAATCGAATTTCTGTGTTTCCAAACTGGGCAACATCAAGCAATGCTCGATACAAAAAGATGTATTGTTTCTATGGAAAGCACAAAATTTGAAATGTTATGCCATTTGGCCGAAGTGGAAAAAATTCCGAATATTTCCATTTTCACTTACCAGTGATTGAACTAAAAAGTTACGCTGATGACGCATATCAAAAACAGTATTAAATATGGATACTTGATTCTCATCTTGTAATTGTTGCATCAATGAATCCAACGCGACCAATGTTCCTGTGCGACCAACGCCAGCTACAATGAGATATTTCAATCAAATATTAATCTTACTCCACTGAATACAAAAAAAAAATCGAAAAATCGATGCAAATCATCATACCTGAACAATGAACCAATATGGGACCTCGTTGCACTGAATAGACTTCATTAATTTGGCGAATAAATCGAATCACACCCAATTCTGGTGCCATAAAATCTTTCCAAACCAGATAGTGATATTGAGTAATATGTCGTTCTTCTTCTTCGTCACCGCTGACACTGCCATTACTCAAGCCACCATTTCCATTGGAATTGGCGTGCGCTGAATGTGATCGTGTGATTTTCAGTTCACGCACCAGGTAATCGGCGTAACGTTGTTCATGTGTAAATTTAACGGTAATTTCACCAAATTTCTGTGTATCATTTATCTGTTCTGGCCAATATTTAGCGCATTTCGCCTTATTGTATTCCTCAAGATTCGTCAGCATCACAATTATTTCGAGATGTTGTTCCCAAATCATGCGCCAAAAATCATTCACGGTACTATCCATCGGTCCTTGGGCACAAATAAACTTTTTACGTTCCTTATATCCAATCACAAAGTTTGCATTGATATAATCCGAACCAGATGTCATTCCGTTTGTTGTGCGTTCCGATAATTTAACTCGCGTTTGATCGTACGCCTTAATATCGGGATAACGATTTTTGCACGAATTCTCTTTTGAATCGGAGTGTTTTGTTGTACGATCATTGAATCGATTCGGAAGCATTTCATATTCTCGTAAGAATCCATAGTCGGTATCCTTGTGTCTTTGAATGTATGCCTGAAGTAAATCGTTACGATGAATTGGACCGATGTCTGTCGGTTTCTGATGTGTTGGCCCCAATAAATGACGGCGACTTTGATTATTTCGTCCACCACAAAAACGGCTCAATGAGTCTCGCAAACTAATCACATCGTTTCCTTGTTGTTTCGTTGAATTCAAGCGATGCATTACGCATAATATTGTCAATAATCCAAGCACTAACAGAATTAAAACACAAAGAACTTGCGTCAATATATTGAGAATTTTCGATAAACTTTCATCTTGTTCCGGATCAACTGCATTTCTCATGTTCAAAAAATCCATATATTCGCTGTAATCGGTCAGTACTTCTTTTTCATTTTTATTTACTAAAACGAGAAGGCAAAAAAAAAATAGTTATAGTTGATTTTTTTCGTTTAAATGAATATCATGAAAACCCACCAATCACTTCAATAAAACCCGAATAAATGCTAGTAGAATCCAATAGGCCATCGAATACATTATCACTACCGCGTTCAATTTGAACACTTTCTGCGGTCTTTGGATTTGTTGTTGTGGTTTCTTTGCTAGTGTCGGTATTTTCTGACTCGATTGCATTGGAATTTGCTTCACGACGAACAAAATGCCGGGGACGACGACGTCTTGATGTTTCAATGGCATTCGAATCTTCATCGTCGTCCATACTTTGATGCATACCAGCATAGTCATAACTATCATGATGTCTATCGTGATATCTAGCATGATATCTATTGTGCGATCCATCGAAATATTTATCTCGATATCTATCAGGTGATCTTTCGCCAATGTCTTCAAATAGATCTATGAATGAAAATATTAACATTAAGTATACATTCGAAATTATACGATAAAATAAATACGCACCATCTGGATCATGAGAGCGTGATGAATAGTCTGAAGTCACATCACCCAATGAATGGGCAGGCGATGAAATTCGATTAGCTGGCCAATAGCCTTTGAGTAATTTGCGACATTCGGGATTCTGTATTCGTTGGAATCCATCGTCGAGATTCTTGTTACCATCGCCCAAAATGATATAACGTTCAATTGCATCGGCCGGAATAGATTCGGCCAGATAAACACCGCCATGTTTATTATTCTCCGCATGTACATCTTGATAACTGCTAATGTTTATTCTTGAAATTGGCGGCAATCTATGATTTTCGTATCCCGAAGTTTCGGGCAATCGAATCATATAAATACGATAACCACAAATCGGTCCATTTCGTTCTGACAACTCTGGCATGTCCAATTTAATCAAATATGTGTCACCCGAACGTATAGTTTCCCAGTAGACTGGCTTCCATTCCGGAACCGATATTGGTGTTGAACACTTTGCAATTGCCGGCTGTCCTGGTTTTTTGCTTCGATTTATGGCCGACACTTTAACCGTGTAATTTGTATTCAGTGGTACATTTTCAAATTCGGCTGCTAATTGAGTTTCCAATTTTGTTTTTGGTCCATACGTTTCGTTCCGCATAGTACGTTTCTTTTCCGAACGATAGGTTGCGGTGCCAATCAATTCAAGATTATAATTTTGAATGACACCTTTTGGTTGAGATGGTTCTTTCCACTCCACGGATATTTTGGCCGTCTTTTTATCATATGGATACAATTTACATTCGACTTTCAATTTATTTGGTGGACTGGCAATACCATCAGACGTTTCTCCCGTCACTGTAGCAGACCAATTGCCACATTGTTTAGTGAGTTCGTTACATGCACGTGTTCGAAATACGTACTTTGTGCCGGATTTTAGCTAAAATCAAACAATGATTTGAAATTAATAGCAAATCAATACGCTGGTTTCAAGAGAAAATCTCCTTGTACTTACTTTGTCAAACATGTATGGTAAATTTCGACTATTCTGTTGATGTACGGCTTCTTCAACGATTCGGGACTCATTGGCTTTTTCAGCGACAGTCAACTCGTAGTATTGTATGTATTTTAGCAAATTTGAATCTGGTGCAGGCCATCCGATTGTAATTGTGTCGGTGGTCATGCCTTTTACTTCATTGACAGGCACAAACACCGGATCTTCGGCAAGGGTTGTAACCGGTTCTTTAAGATCGTATACCGGACTTTCTCCGATTCCATTTTTTGCCTGAATTTTGAAATAATAGGTAGTGTTTGGTTCGAAATTTTCCAACACAACCGACGTACGATTTCCGTCGATTGGATCTTTATAATAATGAAACGTTGAATCACCATTTTTCGAATATTGAATAAAATATTTTGAAATTGGTGAATTTCCATTGTTAATCGTCCAATTTAAAAAGATTTTCGATGCACCCACGGATTGGACGAAATCAAAACTGACTTGTGGCACATCCAATACAACGACTGACGATTTTGCTGTAATTTTGGTAGAATTACCAAACACATGATCAACATCGTTGTCGTATGGTATTTCAACGACACACGCATAATCTCCATCGTCTTTTTTCGCAATGTTGGCCAAATCAAGTGTTATATTGACTCGTTGGCCATTCACGCGGCTGATATTTGTTCGATTCGCAATCAATTCAGATTTCTGATGTCCATTTGATGTCTCCCATTTGATATACTTTTCAAAATCGGCAAGTGGATGAGCTTCAATTACACAAAATAATAATACACTTTTACTGATTCGAGTTTCAATACGATCTGGACTCTTTTCCACAATTCGCGGTGGTATAACAGCTGATACAGTGAATTGCCTTTTCACCGGTCGCACATCACCATCAACCGTTCCGAATTGTTCGCATGTGTAATTGCCCGTATCATTTTCTTCGACCTTCTCAATGGTCAAATTATATTTTAAAGTCGGTATGTCGTTGTTATCAGTTCTCAAATGGAATCTATTTAATAGAAAGTTATCAAACATGAAACGATCATTTTATGTTTTCCGCAATTTCACATGTGATTTCAACAATGATTGAAAAAACAAACCTCTTATTCGATTCGGTAATATTAACACCATCTTTGTTCCATTTTATTGGTGTACTTGTTTCGGTTTCACATGAAATCGTAAAATTACTTCCGATCACAGCATATTTTTGATTGGATTCTATAAAAAAGCAGACAAAAGAGTCAAACACACACAAAAAAAATGTTTGAGGAAAAAACAAACAAACTGATTACAAATAGTTTATTATTTAATTAAGAATGCAAAGCGATAAAAAAATAGAACGTGATTTGCTTATTGAAACGATTGACATTCTGACTATTCATAATTGATACAATGAATGGAATGCAACTGAAGTACAATATGAGTGGGCGAATGTCAAACAAACATACAAAAAACACACCCCAGAATTTGAGTTGCTCAATGCGTCTGCACGGAATATAAAAAAAAATACATAGTTTTATTGTATGATCTAAAGTTGCGTTCATTACAATCGTTTCGTGCTGTATCACTCACTAGCCTCACACTTTGTCACTCTTCAAATGGATAAAATTTTACCTAATTGTTCGGCTTGTTGTTGCTCATTAGCGACAACCAAAATGTCCGGAATATATGCAATTGCAATGATAAATGCGATAAAAATGATGGGCATTTGTTTCATTTCATAGGAATTACAAATACAAAATCGACAGCCGAACATTATTAACAATGTCGCGTCTATTTATGTTATTTTATCTAAATATTCAATGCGATTGATGTTTGTTGTACTCTTCTATCTTTCTTTTTGTGTTGGTTTTTTGTTTCTCTTTTTCAATTTAAACCGAGTAACACTCTCCCACTACAGCCTCCTTGTACACTTTTAATCATACGATTTAACATTTAAAATTTCACATATGATTCACGATTTTGCTGTGGTAAAGCCATTTATGCTGAACTTTGGTATGTACTTCACAAATTAACAAGCACACAAAACAAATGTATAATTCACCAATAGAAAAAAAGAAGTCTCGGTTTCCTCCCTTTATGTGTATTTTGTTCAATTTTGCGGCTGCAAAAAAGCTTCACATATAAATCACACACTTCTCAAATCTATCAGAAATTTGCATTGTTTAACATTATTTAATGTTTTTTACTGCTCATTTTTGACTATAACCAGTCGCACATCATTTGCAATTGACAATTATTTCTTTATTGTTGATCCAAGAAACCGTAGGCTAAACATAAACTATACAAAAAAATAAATGTACACATTCAGTAATCGGCTACAACTACTAGCTAGTACACTTCTTTCATCTCTGGTGCTCTCAAAAATCGATGTGTGCATGTGTGCGTGAGATCGGCCATTGTATTAGTGTGCGTGCACATAAATGTATATAGAAAAATTCATTGTTTCGCATCGATGTCGCTCATCTTACACATGGACTTGCATACTCACATATACAGAATGACATACTAGATTTTTTTGTTGGCATTTCATGTCATTTTAAATAAAAAGATTTGATTTCATTGGCCAAAGTTCAACGTGATATTAAATATTTCTTCGAATTATTTTGATCAATTGAGTCAACGCGTCGATTCGACTAATTTCTGGGAAATTGATAATTTAAAGAGTTTGCGTTTTTCGGACACTTATCAGTTTAAGGTGTCTGTTATTATGGTTTTTTTTTTTTAAATATGAAAGAGATTACGTTAAATTACTCTAATTTTCGCAAATAATAACATTATCAATGTTTCATTCTATTTATGATGATGATAAGAATTGTTGGCAGCTCTTTTGACCATATTTGATAAGTATGCCGAGTGTATCAAATTGATTTTAATTCACAATGAAAAAATATACTCCTCCCTCACATCATGCAGTTAAATAAAAGTGGCTCCACCTGCATTTCATCCGTACTAATCGATGACACTTAACAAAGCTATTCGCCAAAATTGGTTTATTGTATTGGTGTGCGTATACAGCATTGAGATTACCAATTGATTCACACATTCAGTCTCATTTTTGGTGACGAACTAACTCGTTCAGAGAAAAAGAAATTACAACAAAAAAAAAATTAAGTTAAAAAGAAAAATTGTATCCCATTTCAACAGCAATAACAAGTGAAATTAAAACGCATCAAAAATGCCGAAGAATAAGGGAAAGGGAGGAAAAAATCGTCGTCGTGGTAAGAACGAAAATGAATCAGAAAAACGTGAATTGATTTTCAAAGAAGACGAACAAGAATATGCCCAAGTCACGAAAATGTTAGGCAATGGCAGATTGGAAGCAATGTGCTTTGATGGTGTAAAACGTTTGTGTCACATCAGAGGCAAACTGCGAAAGAAAGTAAGTTTTGATTTTCTTTTCATGGCAAATGAAAGAAAAATCACTAGTTTCCAAAGAATTTGACGTAAAATGTGCACATTTTCCAATGTTCGATAATGCGAAAAAAATACAATGAAATCGACAAAGAATTTCAATAAACCCCAAAAAAATGGCGCCGTTTTAAAAATTAACTATTTTTCGAGCAAATTGTGAAAATACCCAATAATTTTGTTTTGTCACATCGCGGAAAGTTTTAACATTGATTTTTGCTCCGTTTTGTTTTCAAGTGATTGAATGAGAGATATTTTACGCATAATTTCGTGATGACGATTTGTTTCCTAGACTGAAAATTGAATATATACAATGGTATGGCTGTGTGCATGTGCATGTGTGAATTGCATGCAGTATGCGACAGCAGTCTCGGCACGCTCCACACGATCATATTACTTTTTAATATACAACCTTGTATTGTCTGTGTGCATTCAGTAACTGTATATTACGGAATAGCATACCAACGAAAATGCTTGTAAAGAGAAATGATTTGTTAATTTCAATGAGTAATATGTGTACACATTTTCCGCATTTTTTTTTTACTATTACTTGACCTCGTTTAGAAAGGAAAAATTATTTTGCTAATGGATTGCGGTTTTTTTTTCTCTATGCGTCTTAGGTCTGGATCAATCAAGGCGATATTATACTGGTGGGACTGCGTGATTATCAAGATTCAAAAGCCGATGTTATCCTAAAATACACACCCGATGAAGCGAGAAATCTGAAAACGTACGGCGAATTCCCTGAATCGGTTCGAATCAACGATACTGTTACATTTGTCGAAGACGGTTTAGATGAAGACATTGAATTTGGCGATGAGATCAGTTCCGACGATGATGACGATTCCGTTGATGCTATTTGATAGTTCACTCCACAAATACTTTTATTTTATCCACATTATTATGTAATTATGATTTCTCTTCGTTTACGGTCTTAGTAACTCTTTTTTTTAAATAATTTTTTTTTGTTAATAGCGATACGAATAGGAGCACATGCAACTGTTGCGATATATCGTTAAGAAAAATTATGTTAAGCATAACCTCTATTTCTTCGCAAAAAGCTGGTAAAACACAATAGAAATTCAATATACAAATAAAAGTAAATACCAGAAAATCTAATAGCTCATGAGTGTTTCATTTGATGAAGGAATCCAATTTGATAAAGAAGTATTAACAATTTCAGGTTATAAACGGACAAATGGTCATTTGGTTACTTAATTTTAGTTATTTTAGATATCGCAAGGGATAGCTATTGAACGGAGTAACACAAAGTCTCTGCAGAAAAGTCATTATCAGTATTTATCACAGACATGCGGAGGTGTACACGTCAACTCTAGTTAAAGCCATTGAAATGAATGTGAAGGGGTATATTAAATTCTGCAACGGAAATACTGACTATGACTTTAATGCCATTTTCATGTGGTTTCGGAGATTAGCGATTTAATGGTTATTTGCAAATCCTTTTAACGCTATTATGTATCGTATAAAGTAAATAACGGCGTATATTTGTTGAATGAAACCGCAATTATCTCACCTAATTAAACAAAACGGTAAGTACTCCGCTGTAAATAAAACAATCTGAAAAGGCAAACAAAAACACATTCGATTTCCTTTTAAAAAAAGTTCTTTTTTTTATTTTCCTTCATTTGTCTATAATACATTACTAGGAATTGTGTTTGTGAGTCTATTTTGGTGTAAGTTCAGTAGCTGTTGTTGCATTTTCGTGGTATTGCTAATTGATTTCAAGCAAAAAAGAATGATTCAGTTAATATTTTATAGATTATTTCTGAACGGATACAGTTTTTTTGTTATTAAATCTTAAGCTTTCACATGTTACAAAAGAAACATTACTTAACAAAGCCAAAAATAAAACTGTTTTTTTTCTTTGCTACAATTGCCCTTTTCTTTATTTTTAAATATATACAATTTTTGTTCGAGCGAAAAAAAGAGCACGCCAATTATCCTAGAAAAGAAATGATATAGCGAAAAAATGATGCCTTCAATTTACTTTCACAACTGGATAAAACGATTTGTGTTTTGTCGTATTCGAATTTCATTTGTTTTTCAATAAAATTTTAATTGGAATCGACAACTGAACGAAAACAATAGCTTAACAATTTTTTCACGATGCGTTTCATTTGTTGATATTTCAGTTTTTTTCTTTCCCCTTTTTTGTAATTCACTTTCATTTTTTTTTTTGTACGAATGCTAAATAAGCTTACAAACTATGTTCCGATATTCCGTCGTTTCGATTCACCTATATGATCTTACAATAGCATATATATCTTTTAGTTTAGTTAGTAATACATAATTTTGTTGGGTTTTTTTCTTCTGTTTATTATTGTTTTCTTATTTAAATAGATGCTTGACGCCTTGATTTGTAAGTTACAATTAGAGATAAATAACTGCAATAATATTCGATTGAAATAGTAGTCACTTGTTCTCAGTGCTTGAAAGAAAGAAATGAAACGATAAACAAGAAGAAAAAAAACATAGAAAAAATGACAGCAAATATTGAGTTGAATAATAATTTTGAAACAATTTGAGAAGACTGAATTGGAAATGGTTTGTTTTTTTTGTCATGGTAAAAGAAAATATGAAAAAAATGTGCGATGAATTGAGATCTTATATCGCAATATATGGACGCCAAAGGTAGTTCTTGAAAGGAGTTTCATAAGGAGGCTCGATTTTCAAGGTTATGGTCGGAATTTACTGGATTGATTTATTGATTGAAACGCGTGCAAAGGGAAATTCATGCGGGAATTGAAATAAAACAAAACAAACAAAATAAAGGGGCGAACATAATTTTATTTGAGTTATTTATTTGAATGAGTTGGTTGGTTTTTGTTTTTTTGGCAAATCAAAAAAAAAAAAAATGGCGTGGAGAAACAAAAGAAATTTGAAAAAGCCTATCCTAGCAGTGAGTGGTCTGCATTTTAAACATTCTACAGGCCACAGTCTCTCATCAGCTCGATTTCGTACTACAATAGTTTTTTTTGTTCGGCGAAATTTGCATATTTATTACAATATATTTATATTACTTGAAGCTTCTACGAAATGTGTTTTGTTCTATTTAAATACGTCACATATATATTCTCCATCCACGGTTTGTTTTTGTTTTTTGTTATCGTCTTTTTACTGTTAAGGCATCCTTTATTCATATTCATCATCGTTAATGTTTTTTTTTGGTGTGTTTGTCTTTGTGAGTGTGGTACAGGTAGTATGAATTAAGATGAAAAACCATCAGTATGAATGATGGATGAAATAAGATGAAGAAACATTAAAACAGGAGTTAAAAAAAACCTTACACAGAAAAATGTTACACGACCATGATTAATATTTGATTTACGCTACAATGCTCGCCAAAAAAGAAACAAATTTCGTACAAAAGCCGACACCTCTGGTTACTTCACATAAAACTTCGCCGAAAGTAAACGAAAAAAAATCTATGATTATAAACAACGAACGGATGTTTCTCTCCCTCTATCTCGATTTTAATTAAATACTAATGAATAATTTAGTCTATGTAAAACTGAAAATTATAATTTAAATGTTCTACTCGTTTCTTTAACATACACTTCATCTCACTCGATGTCAATCGTACAATTTTATCTCTTTCTCACCGCTTCAACGTGTCTTTCATTTGTCTGTCTTTCAAATTAAACTTTCATTAAAATGTTTCGTTCGGAAAATATTCAGCATGCAATCATCCTTAAAAGTGTATTAAATACACCGAAAAAATATTGCCGTTTTTCTATTTCTTATATCTCTCTCTCTCATTTCTATGTCAATTGACACAACGATTTTTATTTGTGTCCATTTGTTCTTATGACATAATAAACTCATTGCGCGCGCAATTAGCAAGCATACACTATTTGTCACTCAATTTTTTTACCTTCTCTATATTCTTGTCATTTTACATTTTCCTTCAACGCAGCCCATGTGATACAACTTTTCTTTTTCTTCAATAAAATAAACAATAAAATCAAACACAATTTTTCAAACGAGTTTGATACAATTCAAGAATATATCTGGGCAAACAATAATCTCTATCTTAATAGTTAAATGCAAAAAAACAATAGGCTTGAAATCTCTTTAAATACAAAAATAAAATCAATTAAAAAAAGAGCGAAAAAAATAATGATATATCATATGATTTTGTTGATGATAGTGGTACTTCAAGTAATGACATTACATTTGATAAGTTTGCTTAATTACTGCGTTTACTGTATGTTGTGTTATTGTTGTTGTTATTAAGACCAAAAGATTCGCTAATGGCCTTTTGCAGCTTCTTTCGCCGCTAATATCAATGGCGTTAGACTAGCCAATGGACGCGCTAATTTCAAAAATGTATGCTGCAAATTCGCAAAAAAAAGAAGAAAAAAATAATACATCAATAGAGTAACGAAATATTTTGTTTTGATTTTGTTGTTTAAAATGTTCATTGAACTAAATTAAACTCACCTTCAATAGATCGGGAGCGCCGGCTCGACGTTCAACGTCTACTTCCAAGCACTGATCAAGAAAATCTTGAAATATTGGACTGAGTTTTTCCATTTCTTTAATTTCGGGTTTTCCATTCGTTGCAATAAGATACAATGCTCTCAGTGGATTTTCATTTAAATACGGTGGCTCGCCCTCGATCATTTCTATAGCCATGATTCCCAGAGACCATAAATCGACTTTCGGTCCATACTGTTTGCGTGTAACCACTTCGGGTGCCATCCAATCTGCATAGAAACAACGCGGAAAAAGTAAATTAGATTTTCTTTGAAATTGGATATTGTGGTTCTGTAAAATGTGGTGATTAACTTACATGGTGTGCCAACCATTGTGGTTCGTTTCGATTGTTCGGGTGATATTTGTGCACAAAAACCAAAATCGGTTAATTTCACACTTCCGTCTAAGCCTAATAGTATATTGTCACTTTTTATATCTCTATGAATCACTTGATTGCTGTGCAAAAATGCCAACGCTTGTAATACTTCACGGCAAACAGCTGCGATCTGTCCTTCGTCCATGCATGTTTCGGTGACGACATCGGTCAACGAACCGCCTGGCAAATACTCCATCACTACCCATAGCTCTTCACCAACCAAATAGCTGTCCAAATAATTTACAACATTTGGATGCTTATTCTCTCGCATCACTAAAATCTCATTGATGATTAGCTCCTTTTTGGGTTGTTGTGACAAGTTCATTTGTTTAATGGCCACCTCCATACCGGTTGAACTTTCAATTGCTGTATAGACCGTACCTAAGGGGAGAATCACAAAAGAGAAGAATTAATTTAAAATAATCGAAAAATAATCGACAAATAATCGGGAAATAATAATAGACCGTACCGCTTGCACCTTGGCCAATTTTTTCGATTTTCGTATATTTTCGTGTCGGATCACCAACGCTCACAATCGTTCGCAGTTTATCGAGAATTTCTTCGTCGGTCATTTTCTTCTTTTTAAGAGCACCATTATTTCGGGGAGTTGTTTGTGGTGCAGTCGGCTGTACTTGATTTAGAATTGTTCCACCACTTGTTGGCGTTGTATTGCTACTTCCGTTAGCTGTTGCCGATACCGGTGATGTTGGATGCACTGTAGGAACATGTTCTATGCAATTAAATTTTTTGATTTCAAATTAACCCAAAATCCATAACCACAGGAAGAAGAGAAAATTGTTACCTGGTGACGTTGGTTTTTGTGTTGTTGTTGTTTTCGATAGCGCCGCATTGTTCGCCAGTTTTGGTTGCATGTTATAATTAATTGAATTCGGACTATAAATATTGCTTGCATTGTTTTTGTTCTTATCAAGTGTTGGACTCTTTATTGCAACTGATGTGTTCATCAAGTTGTTTTGCACCGATTGAGCTTGATGTTGATAATTGATAGCACTCTCCGTTAGATTTGTGTCATCAAGTGGTCTTGTATACTGGGATAAAAAAAAAAAACAAAATTGAATTGTTAATGTTTTATATTCAATTTGTGTCAGATGAAATGACAGATGAAGCACATACAATTGATTTAGTTCGTTCGGGTCGACTAGAAATTGGTGGTGGCGGTGGTGCATTGTCATCGCTGGATGCCTCTTCGTTTACCGAATTGTCGGTAATTTGTAAACTTTGTTGCGTTGACGATTCACTAACCGCTGGATGTAATATTTGTCCACTGTGATGCGACTCAGAATCGGTTGGCGTACTACTTGGCGTGCTGCTGCTCACATGACTCAATGACGAGGCTTATTGTTGATGTTTGAGCAAATCATTTTTATTAATTTAATTGCATATGCCATTTAATGAACAGAGAGAGAGAGAGAGATAAATTAAATTTGATTTTAACACTTACCCGAATTTGTAGCTGTTGTTGGGGCGGTTGTATTAATCATATACTTTGAGCTTGGCCGTTGTTTGCTACTGTTTTCAAACCAATTTAATACATCTAAAACAGCCTGTGGATTCTTCTTTTGCTCTTGTTTGCTTATATTCGAGTTCATGAGCAATCGTGCCCATGCTTCGGGCATTCCCTGTAAATAAAACAGGAAAATTGAATAAATTGTTGTCTGTACGCTGAAAGGCACAATGAATGGATTGACGAGACAAAAAAAAGAAGATGGAATACATTGAATTTTAAATGAATCTCCTCCAATCATATCAAGTTTGGATTGCCTTTCTTTCTCATTGAATACAAGTCCCGTTTTTATTTTTGTAATTTTACTACAAAAAAATCGGCATGATAAACAAACTAACAACTCCTATAAACTGTTTCAATTATCGGTCAATTAACTGATATTTGTCTGAAGCATGCATTTTAAAGAAGGTGATACAAAAAAGGCAATACCAATTGTACGACGAGAGGAGTTCGAGAGAGGAAAAGAGACAGAGAAAAAGAAAGCTGTAACTTATTGGTGTTAAAAATAGCTTTTTGTAACCTTGCAATCGACAATGTAAAGAAAACCTCACGTAACGAGTCACGAACATGACTGAAAATGGTTCGATTTATTTATCGTTTTTGTCCAATTCGTCAAATTTCTTCTTTACAAATTTGCGATGTGCCAACGGCTACCAACAATATAAAACGTACTTACAACATTCCCAACACACAATTTACCGAAAAACAAAAACAAATAAATCCAAAACTAAAAAAAGAGTGAAATCTAAATAAATGACTGGACCACGGATGAAAATCACATACATACAAATATGTAGCTGAGAAAACGATACACAAAAACACACAATCACATCGTGCCAAATGAAGAAATTTTGAATAAATGTTTGTGTCAATTTGCACAAAATCAAAACAATAACAATAATTTACGGACAAGCAACGAAAACTGAATACTTACTTTCAAAGGCAGCTTGAAACGAAAAAACAAAACGAAATAGAACATTGTGTGAACGAAATCAAACGAAAAATCCAGGAAAATCAACCGAAGAATCAAATAACCAAAGTAAAACAGAATATATAGACTATTTGGTATGGTAACTTGAATAGAATATTAAATAAAATGAATGTTAGCATCGAATCGTGTCGCTTCAGAGAAGTATTCTTTCTCATTTTTAAAGAAGAAGAGCAGCCAGCACAGAGGATAGAATAAAATAATGGTAGAACTGCGTTGTGGGCGAAATTGGAGTGTTTAATTATTAATTTATTGTAATAATTTTTGTTCACGTTTGTTTCCGTTTTTGTATGCATTGTGCATTGTTCTTTTTCGTTTTTTGAATGCCCATTTTCATGAATATATTAAGATTGAATTTCAACTTTGAAGTGATGTACGATCTCATAGATACTGATTCAAAAATAAAAGCAGTTAATTTGTGAAACAAAAAGAACAACCGAAAATAATAATCCGAATAAAGTAAATCGTTTCTGTTTTTCCATTCTGCCCATATGACGTTAGAACTCGAATAATTTCAAAAAATAAAATTAATGTGCGCAATTATTTGAAAAGCTTTGACAAAAACGCAATTTACCCACCAAATGGCGACTCTATTTGATCTTAAACGCTTCGCAAACTCAATTAATTTTGCAAAAAAATAAAATGCATCTATTTTTTTTCTTCAAACAAATACTATTCATCCGATCGACTGATCAAAGCTTCAAAATTTCAACTAAATATGTACGGTGAGAATCAAGTGGTTTAAGCAAATTTTTTCGAAAACAAAAAATAACTATGGCATATCCAAAAACAGAGCACATAACTCAGAAAACATAACAAAACACAAAAGATTATATTGGTTTTAATTCATGGCCAAATGAAATGATCCGATCAAATATATGAAATATATAAAATGATTTTACGGATGAAAATCAGTCGCCGTAACTAAATGATTTGCGCCAAAATGGTAGAAAGCCAATCAAATGAACTAGTTTTACAAAAAACGCAAAAAAATGTGTTAGGCAAGAACAAACTCTTAAAACTAAATGAAAACAAAAGCGATTAGCAAATGATCGGCGACAAAGTATTAGATGACAATCAAATGAATGTGAACATACCGTGAATTCACCGGTGATAGCATCGAATCCTACATGAACCGTATGCTCGAAATTCTGTATTGTAAAGAAACGGGATAAAAAATCGAATCGTAAATCGTAATATAAATAATTGTGAATCAGGTAAACTCACCGTTGGATACGATATATTTGGTTTTGAATCGGTGCCTGCTTTTGGCATCGATCCTTTAGCTTTACTTTTGGAAGTTTTCTTCTTTCGATCGGCATCGTCAGGTTCTAAATTCAACGCAATGTTAGTATTAAATCAATAATAATCAGATTGACGACAAGAGAGGATAAAATAGATACGAATTGATTTCATACCTTTTGGCAGAGGTTTCAGTTCGACATTCGGAGCGCTGTCACTTCGATGATCAGATTTGCTAAAACCTTGATTCATGAAATGAATGACAAAAACAGTGTGTTTTTTTAAATGAGTTCAATCGGATAATGTAGGTGTAGCTTTATTTGCTTCACAGAGCTAATTTACGTAAAACGGAGCAATTGCTTTTTTAACGGTTATGGTTTAACGATTCGTTGCAAAATCGAAATCATGCATTAAAAATGCGATTATTCATGAATGTTTAATCGATTTAAATTGAATTACCTCGATTTGTGCTTGTTAATCGAACCGGCGGGGCGGGCGGTTTATCTTCTTCACTCGACATTTTTTTTTACTTTTGTTATGTTTGTTGTTATTTTCTTTAATTGTTGTTTGCTTAATTTATGTGCGGTGTTTTTTTTTTTTTTAAAAAAAAAGGTCAACAAAAATCAATTTTTTGTTTGACACCGATTTTCCGAAGCTAATTTAAATTGTCTTTTCTGAAAAAATTAATAATAAAAATGTAGATGATATTCTTAAAAAATAGTAGCGGAAACGAAAGATTTATTGTGCCTAATGTTAAGTGTCATTTCATTCATACACGAAGCAAAAACCATCGAACTTCATTCTTTTTTTGCTAGCATTTGAATCACACACAAATAAAAACAGACAAACACACATTATTTTCGTTTTTAAATCGTTGTCGAGCTCATTCATTCGACGCGTTTATCCAAAACAGAGCGAAAATAAAAGATAGTAAGAACCAAAAATATCTTTTCAATCGCTTAATTTCGTCAAGATCACGGCTGCACCCAATGACATTTCTGTCTGTATATACATCCGAATGCATTAGTATGAACATTAGTCGTACCAGTTGTAAAGTAAGTTTTTTTTTTCTCTTCTTTCTCTCTTTCTCCACTTCAACAAAAAATTGTTACTCATTCTCTATGAATCAATCAGTGTATTTGAACTGCACTGATACGCACGACAATTTTTCGTTCAACACTTGAATCACACATCAAATATGCATAACTTATCAGTTAATTTTGCAATCAAAATGTTCGACGATTGTAAAATCATAAACGAAATTATTTTATTTGATTGATGGTTTTTTTTACTGCTCTCTTTCACTCATAAAACCTTTGCTTACTTGTCAAAACCAAAAATATATCACACACATCAACATTTATAGTCATCTCAATTTTTCTGGTATGAGCCGACTGACTCAGTTCGGATGAAGTTTAGTTGAAGCGAATGAAAAAAAAATAAATAACTATATAAAATCACAATTGGAAATCGTTTTTTATTATGTGGTTGCTTAACAATTCATCCATTTTCAAACGTGTTGGATGGCCAAACAAAACAAATCGATAAATGCCAAAATGGAAATTTTCTTTCATGCATTCACAATTGAATGGAAAAATAGTCACAACATCTACACCATACGAACAATTCACTGCATTCTGAATGGAATTTTTTTTATTATTATTTTCATTTTTTTGCACAAACGTTAACATTTAATTTACGCACATTATTTCTGCTATTTTTGCAAATCTGATCGGTATAATTTTCACAACTCAAACGGTGTTTGAAATTAAAAGAACTAAAACAGAAATAGCATGAACACAACGAAAGAGAAAAACGACACCAAATCCAAAATTCACGCACATAAATTTTTCCTCATTTTTCCCATTTACACACACCGCAGAGCGAAATTGAAATGAAACGATACTGAATTGTAATGAATTCATATACAGTGAAAAGAAGAACGGCGCAACCGAGCACAGACTATGCCATTCGATTGATGGGCCAGAGCAAGAGCACACGCATACACTTTATATCGTAACGATATCAAATACGTGCGCAATGCATTTGTGTGAGTGATACTTTTTTGTAATTACACTGACTGTGTTGTCGCTGCCATATTTGATTCTTTCTCAGTATTCGTTCACCGTCATACAAATGTAGAGAAACATATCGCGAGAGCGAGACAATGTCTTTGTATTAGTTTTGTATCACACAATTCGTTGTGTGTAAGAATTTCTATTTTCCATGCAATACACAGACACACACATTGAAACAGCGTTACTGCTTCTCTCTCTGTCGTTTCTCTACTGTGAGCGCGAGCGAACATCGAATTTTCAAATGTCAAAATTTGCTCATTCGTAATGTCAACAAACGAAGGTTGCGTTCCGCATACCATTCAATGCGATTTCTATTTTATTTTTGTGCATAACATCCAAGGTGATGGGGTATATTTTGAAAGATTTTATTTTGGAAAATAAAAGTCGTTTATTTTTTTATTTTTGCATCTTCTTTTTAATACGTTATTTATTTCATTATTTTCGAGATTTTGTACAATTATATTAGTTTTAATCATTTGTTTTTCATCATATAATTCGCTTTCATCTCTTTTACATTCAGTACAATTTTTAATTTAGCTGTCTATTTATAACATAGTTGGTTTTTCTTTTCATTTTCCTTTCCATAAGATGAGAAGAATGCGAAAAAAAAAACGTTTAATTAATCCCTTTTTTTCTCTAAATAATTATTATGAATTCTTAAAGCTTTACAACGAGTAAACTAAGAATTTAGTCAGGTCATTTCTTTTTTATTCTTTGTGTTATCCATTCTAAGCCTTGATAAAGCCTGTGGAATAGATGAGAAAAAAGAGAGAGCGGAAAAATGCAATTAATTTTCACAATGATTTAATGAGCTAGCAAATTAATTGTCAATGAATTATAACGTGTATTTACCCATCGCCTGTCAATGCACAACACGATTGTATATGCCATTGGTGTTTTTTTATTGATGTTAAGTCTAATTGACGTGATATTTCTGCTGCAGACATCGCGCCTTTTAAGTCCTGTACATACACACAAACGGAAACGGAACAACCGAAAAAAGATTTTTTTTTTTTTTAATTTTGTTCATGATAGTTGCATTGCATTAATAATCGCGTGCAAACGATTAATTTTAATATCGAAGTGGCACTTACTTGTTTATTTGCGTATACGAGAAGACATGCTTTTGATAGATCTTCGTGTTGTAACAATGTATAAAGTTCTTCACGTGTAACAGCCAAACGTTCTCTGTCCGTGGAATCGATAACCATAATAATAAACTGAAATGAAGCAATAAAAAAAAACAACGTTTGAGAACGTGCGTTGGACTTTAAAAAATAATGCATCGTCTATCTTTTTATATGGGGCGGAACGAAATAAAAGGATCGCACGAAAACTTAAAATAGATTCCGTGAATCACAGGAACCATATATTAAAATCAATTTCCATACACACTCACCTCTGTGTTTGTGTAATATGTACTCCACGCCGTCCTTAAACTTTGTTGACCTGAAAAACATAACAAACATTTTGTTCAAGCTTTTTTATTTGGCTTATTTTGAAGCAGGATTTCGTGAAAATAAATAAAATTAAAATGTTTTTCTTTGATATAAATCCGAAAAAACCAACTATTTTTGTATTTCATAAATGTCGAAATAAATCACAAGTGAAATGCATGCTTACCTGCCAGATCCCATACTAAAAAGTGGATATTTTTCCAAACAATTTCCTCGACATTTGAACCGATTGTTGGACTGGTATGCACCACTTCATTCATTAAAAATTGGTATAAGATTGTTGTTTTGCCGGCATTATCCAAGCCTACCATAACTAATTTGTGTTCTGTAGTGAAGAAAGTGTAAAAGAAAAACCAAATTTATTAATATTGTACTATGTACACATGGGTCATTTAACAAAAAACACCACCAATTGCTTGTGTAATCGAATGTCAAAGTGCAATTGACACAATATACGGGGTCAATATCAAGTCATCAATCGATTATTGGTGTCTGTTCACTCTTTCTCTCTTTTTATTTTAACCAACACACGAAAGGCTACAAATTATTGTGGATAAAGTGGGTGCCAATGTTCCCAATCGAAACCATTACTTCTACATGAGTTATTTCATGCATATTAACACTGGTGTCCATTAAATAGCTCACGTAACCATACAATGTAAATCCATTCAACGCACATATTAATTGAATTGCTATTCAAGAAAAGATACGATTATAATGATTGCGACACATTCTAGAAATTAGCATTTTATGTAATCCTTTCAATGTTTGTCGTCAAACACCGATAAATATGCGATTGAGAGAAATAAGCATATTGGCAAAACGTTGCAAAACCAGAGAAAATGCTATTCTTGCGCAATATTGACATAATAACCAGTTTAGATATATAGGCAAAAACAACGCATGTAAACACAATTAGACTAACTGATTTAAAATAAATCGGATTTCGCTTAAAGTTAAATTCATCGATTCATTTTAGTTTTTTGCAAGGTAACACTTTGCATACTGGTCTCCGTTCGACTGCATTGTTTTTTTTTTTTTTTAAATGAAGCCTCAAACCCGTTCAAATGGATTTTCAATGAACAACAAACCTTGATTGGAATGAATTCATCATCAAATGTTATTCATGGATTCGCGTCTTTCGGATGTAAATTCTTCTTTCCATTTCAAACAACAATAAAATACTTAACGATGTCTTTTTTATGCTGTCTACTCTCATTATGAGTTTATGTTTGAAAAGAAGCAGAAAAAAGGCGATGAGAGCAGATCAGAGAAGAGAAGATGAAACGCATTTCGTATGTTTTTTTCTGGGTTGTGCACAATGGCAAGAACCTTTTAAGCAGCATGGAGAGATTGATTGCACAGCTGCTCTCGAAAAACGTGCAAAAGGTGTCCAAACCCACACACACACACATACACGAGCGATAATAATAACATGGAAAATTCGTAACCAACAAAAAATGACACAAACAACAACGCGTAGACCAAACAGTTTTTTTTGCAGTACCTGCTTTATGCAGTCTGTGTGTCGTTATGTTTTTGTTTGTTGCCAAGTATTTCTTTGTGCGCTGCAGAGCGAACATAATAACGAAATGAAGAAAAAGAAACAAGAGAGAAAAAAAAATGAAAGAAATTTGCGTGAATCATTGTAGCTGCCGTCGTCATCGGCATTTTGACTGGTGTATATGCGGTACGGTGAAATGCCATTGTGAAAGTGTATCTTTGTTTGGCCATCGGTTATTATAACGATGTAATTGCTTGATTGCTTTTACGAATTGCATATTGAAAATATTCGGTATGCAAACAATGTGATACTTTGTCGAATTTATTGAGTGTGGGATATTACTACAAATTCTCAATGTTAGACAATGTAGGCGAAATTCAATAACATCGTGTTTGCTTTTTTTTTTGGTGTTGCACAAAACGCACACGAATAATTGAAACAAAACACAGCATCTGAGAAAAGTTCAAAACAAAAAAAAAAACATCAAAAATATCAAGGTTTCTATCATAAAAAATTCAAAGCAGGTTTTCAACTCTCTCAATATTTGAAATGTTTTCTTGCAATAAATCACACTGCAGATTTGTTATGCTGATATTAAATTCCATTGATGGTGCATGACATGATGAGGCTCCTTTCGAAAGTATCATTCTTTATTTCTTTGAAGCATGGAATGCGGGCATATGTGTACATATAACAGCACCAGCACAAAAATGAAATGCGCTCAAAAAGACTGGCTGAAAGCCGAAACGAATCATTTCAGTTATGCATTATATGCTCTAGAGATCATCGCAACAAACCATTCTCACGCATAACACTTTGAAGGCACGGCGATTCACTGAATAATTATTACACATACGCGAGAGAGCTTCCATATTTCAAATGAAATTCGAGCAATTCATTCACTGACTTAATCAACAAATCGAAAGTCAACGGCATATCTGGGCTACATTGTGTGTGTACGTGAGTATGATATAGCGAAAGCTGCGAAAATATCGTTTGACGCAAGCGAGTTTCTTTTATCGGTTTTAGTATTCACTGCTACAATGCTGATAACAATTGCCTAGAGCAACAGCCTCGCCGATATCAATTATTTAATATCGCGATATTACATGCAATTAATGAAGAACTCAATGGACATTTAGACGAGCGTATTAAATAGTTTTGTAAAAGACAATTTACGAATAAAATTCCAGCCACATTTTTACTACAATTAACGAATGATGAACGTAGAAATTGTCATTGTGATGTATATTAGCATTTTAGTGGCTTTGTTTTTTTTTTATCTTGTTGTCTCTGAAAGTTGAGAAATGAGATTTTACGTCATTTGAAACGTCGTATTTATTGTGAAACGATACGTCTTTAATGGAATAATACATTCAGCTGTGTAAATTTGTGTCACCATAAAAAACCACCTCAAAAATTAAATGGCATCTGAAATGAAATATTAAAATGAATAATACATACCCTCGTTACCGAAAAGGCTCCATAATTTTCCAAATAATAGTCCCATATTGTTAAAATGTTTTGAATCAATAAAAGTGGTAACTAAATGATATTTTTGTGTCTGTATCTCTGTCTCTCTTTCTATCGCACCAATCAATATGGACTTGCAACTAATAATTACTGATTGTTTTGATTGATTTAAAACGATTGAAAAACGCTCAAAGGTCAAAACTTTAAATAATATTGTTATTTACATTGATAAAAATACACAACTGAAAAGCACACTTCAAAACAATTCAAGCACATGAGACCCGACGTATTAAAACAAGCCACTCATATATTTAAAAGCTCACTAAATAGTCTAATTTAATATTTTGTATGGATTTTTTTTGTTGGTTTTTGCACTGATGGTGGTTGTGCCTATTCTTGTCACATTCGTTCAAACCGCTGTACGTTTATTGACTTTGAAAACACGAAAAAACGAAAAAGAAAGACACGGTCACCAATTCCGTTCATTCACGTTTTTCGTATATTGTTTTTATTTTTTATTTGTTATTATTTAGTGCGTAATCTGCTGTTATTCTAATCTATCTATTCCCATACGGAAGCATTCACATTGTTTAGATTTGTCTGAAGGTTTTTGGTATTTTGTTTATTTTGTTTAGGCTGCTTTGCATCCTGTCTTCATGTATTGTATTTTTGTAGATATATCTGTTCAATTTGGTGATAATTGAATTATTATTCACATTTCTTTTCTTTTTCTTTGTTAGTCTGATGGAGTGTTTACAGTATGCGTCACAATGACGATTTCAGTGGGAATTCATTTATTAGATTAAATTGACAAAAAATAACCACTTGTCTGGATATGAAAAGCCCACTCGAAAACGTTGAAGAGTTCTATGCAAATTCAATACCTGACACAGTCAAAATATTTTGATATTGATATTCTGGTTCAATACTCCACTTTGGTTCGATACAATTAACAATCATAGAAGCTGAAACAAAAGGCTGACGAAACACACATTGATCTCGGATATGATTTCAAGACTTGTACTAGGCAAGTAAACACGCAACGGGAAATATTTTTTTTTTTGTTTGATGTTGTACTATTAATTGCAAAATTATTTTCCAGAGGAAGAAAAAATGATTGTACTTTCTTATTTCGTTTTATTTTTCACTTTTAATTATTTTCTACAGTTTTTTATTCGACTGAACACAGGCAATTTTACAAAATTTCATCTGGTTCAAAAAGAGACCCTATTCACTCTCTCGTATCGTCTCGTTTTGATGAAATTTGTCTACTGATTGAAATTGATTTTTTTTTTTGTATAAGCGTTAAACGAAATATCTTCACTCACTCAGTGTAAATATGCCACACACAATATCTATTCGAAATCTGTATTTGCTCTCGCTCTCTTTACTTAAAATCATTCGCTAAATGTGGTGTGTTCTACATTGGTTGAAAAAGAGAGAGAAAGAAATAGAGGGAGTGTGTGCATGTGTGTGTATATATGTGCGTATGTTTTTGATTTTTTCTCTCTGTCTTATCTCTGTGTGTTTCGCCATTTTTTGAGCAAATTACTACTTTACTGTCACTGCGTGCTACACAAAACATGACTCAATGTCTCCGTTTTTTTTTTATTGTATAAAAGAGAGTGGAAGAGAGGCGCATTGCTCATTCAATTTGACATTTGGCTCTCATTCACTTTTTATTTACACATTTTACACAATCACATATAAATGGGATTTTTTCTCTCAAATTTCGACGAGATTTTCATTCTGTCTTCCATCACAAATGAAACTTACAAATATATTTTTTGTTTGATGTTGATTTTCTTGAAAAACGAACGCACCCTCGTGTAATTTGACGGTTGAACGACTGTCAACAAATGTGTTCTGTCACATGAAAACAAATTAAATTCAATTCATTTTGCTTATCGGACAATTTGATGAATGAAAATGCTTCCGTTTTCGGTAAAAATGAAATGAAACCGAAGATTATATCAAGAGGAGGGTCCAAAGACGGTGCATCAAAATGCGGATATGGTGAGTTACCATTTAAAATAACCCTTGTGAAAAAATCATGACAATCGAACTAGTTTTAAAATGAATAACTGTAAATGTCGCTTTTACCACTTTAGTTGGAATATTTTGATAAAATTTAATTTAGAATGCCTCGCACAAAAGAACGAACTAATTATGATATGTATGTTATTTGTAGCATGGCTTCGGATTTCTTCTATCCCAACATGGGAGGTGTGGAGGCGCATATATTCAATCTATCACAATGTCTTGTAAAAAACGGCCACAAAGTTATTCTGATCACTCATTCGTATGGCGATAGAAAGGGAATTCGATACATGAGCAGTGGTGTTAAAGTTTACTATTTACCCATTCGCACATTTTATAATCAATGCATTTTACCAACAATGATGTGCAACATTCCATTGCTACGATATATTTTAATTCGCGAACAAATCGAAATTGTTCATGGTCATTCAGCATTCAGTGCGCTTGCACATGAGGTTATGTTTGTGGGAAAGCTGATGGGATTGAGAGTAAGAAATTCGGAATATTCAATTTCCGCAGTGAAAATCAATTAAAAATTTGTTCCATTTTTAGATGGTGTTCACCGATCACAGTCTCTTTGGTTTTGCTGATTTATCGGCTGTCGTTACGAATAAATTACTGGAAATTACATTGTCTACCGTCAACCATTGTATCTGTGTTTCGCATACGGGTAAAGACTAGAGGCAATTCACTTAAAAATTACCTTTCTATTATTTAATAATTTTTATTGATTCTTTTTCGATTATTTCGATTATTTTAAATTAATTCTTTTCTTTTGTGATTCTCCCCTTAGGTAAAGAGAATACAGTGCTCCGAGCCAAAGTTCGAAAGGAAAAGGTCTCCGTAATTCCAAATGCCGTTGATACAGCATTCTTTACACCAAAACCAATAAAAAGACCAAGTGATATCGATCAAAGTAAGTTCAATTTCAAAATGACAAAATTTGGCCGAAGGTTAAAGTTCTCATCATTTTTTTTACATTTACAGTTACCATAATAATAGTTTCACGTCTTGTATATAGAAAAGGTGTTGATTTAATGGCCGGTGTCATATCAAAATTAGCAAATCAGAAAAATATAAATTTCATTATCGCCGGAGACGGTCCAAAACGAACGTTATTAGAAGAAGTTCGTGAAAAGTACAATATTCAAGATCGAGTGACTTTGCTTGGTGCTTTGGAACATTCTAAGGTTTGATTGATTTTGCAGTGTAGTGGAATTTTTCATTTTAGGTGATCTTATCTTTCAGATTCGTGAAGTTCTTCGAAGTGGTCATATTTTTTTGAACACATCATTAACCGAGGCATATTGTATGAGTATTGTTGAAGCAGCATCATGCGGTCTTCAGGTTGTGTCGACATGTGTCGGCGGCGTGCCAGAAGTGCTTCCACCCCATTTAATTCATCTTACCGAGGCCACAATCGATTCATTGTACGATGGTTTATTGCAAGCCATTCAAAAGTTACAAAATGAAAGGAAAACACTTGATGCACACCATATGAATGGGTCAACAAATGATAATAGCTTGAATCATATGAACAACGGTTTGTCAAAGACAGACAAAAAAAGAACAAAGGTTCTTTGTCCATACGAATGTAATGAGACCCTGCGAAAATTGTACAACTGGAATGATATAAGCGAGCGCACCGAGCGAGTCTATAAACGAGTTTCAAAAGAGAAAGATTTACCATTTGGCGAAAAACTAAATTGTTATTTAAGTGCATGTATTCCGTTTGTTCTAGTCGTCTCATTTTCGTATTTGTTTTTAAAGTTTTTAGATCTAATTGAACCGAGACAAAACATAGACTTAGTCATTGAATCAAAGTATTATGCAAGTCGCCAACAACGTAAAAGAAAAAAACGTGTATAAATTTCCAGATTGTTTGTAACTTTGTGATGGAAATTTGTTTTTTTTTTTTTTTTAAATTTGTAAATTAAAAAAAACAAGCCTTTTTATTCGAGATATTATTCAAAATCAATTTATCCACACTTTATTAACACAAAATCGAAAAAAAATATGACCAAATGTGATTATATTCTAAATACCCGTAGAATCGAACAAAAACTCAGAGTCAATATTATTCATGTGACGTGAACACGAACACTGGCAACATCTGCATTTGACGGACTGCATGAATATCTCCCAGAATCTGCTAAATCGGCCTTTTGAATGAGCAAATGTGATATAGTTATATCGGCCTTTTCTGTTATAACGCTCACGCCACCCCTAGCTGAGTCAAAATTAATCACCTCATCTTGATGATACCAAAATATGTAAGCGGGCGGTTCAGTACTATAATTTATCGTGCATGTTATGTTTATCATATGTCCTTTTTCGACAAAAATCTCCGGTGCTCCCCATATAACAGCGGTCGGAACTAACAAAATTAATGAAAATTAATTTAATCGTTTTATTTGTTTTAAGAAAAAAAGCACAACGATTCTTACCAACAACTTCTAAGTGCACAAATAAACTTCGAACCGGTTGAGTGGATATTTGACATTCGAATAAGCCAGCATCTCGAATGGATGCCCATTTGATTTCTAATACACTTTCGCCCAAGTCTTTATTATAAGTGGCTTGAAAACGTTGATCCGTTGTGTACGTATAACTGCCCACAGTGAGTATGTGTACGTCTCTATGCCGAAGCCAAGCCAGCTAAACAATAACAAATAATTATTCCTTCGAAACTATATTTTCAATTTGATGTAAACAATGGTGACAAAATTGCCAAAAGAAAAAGTAATTATTACGGTTTTGTTTCCAAGATTCCGTGCTCGGCAACGAAGAAATGCTGACTTTCCGACGATAGCAGTTACATTTTGTGGAATATTTGCATCAAAATATGGACCGATTATTTCCGAACCATCAACAGATTCAGTGCTTTCATCTTGCTGTCCTCTACCATTCAACACTTTTTATGAGATAAAAATACGTTCCATTATTTTATTTTTTTCAAAATTTCGAACTATTTACAACTTACCGCAGCTCAAAGCCACAAAAATGACAAACGGAAGTACACGATTTAGCATTACTTCGACGATTACATCACACAGTTTGAGATTTTTATGAAGTTTCTGATTTATTTGAATGTTTCTAAAACTTTATTCAATAAAACATAAGAATTTCCGATCAATTTCATCGTTTGAATGCATTCAATTGAGCAAATTGTAAAGAAATTCAAATTGTCTGTAAGAATTATTTTTCTGTGTAAAGTAAAAATATTTTGACGTTTACTGAGGATGCAGCGAGACGATGCGACGACAATCGAATTATTTTCTCCTGATTATTTCAGGAGAGTGACTTGCATTCCGTTACCATGGCAACCGATTAAGGGACATCTAAGAGCACGATGCATACCATCTGATCACATTTTCAAGGCCATATACTGAAAATTGAAGGACAAATAAACTACACAAGACATTTATTTGGGCATCAATTTTATTGCGTTATACTATTATGATAAAATCTAGAGCTTTAATGTTAAATTAAAGTTATGCGCTGCATGAGCTCTGGCACTGTTGTGTATACTATTAATTTCGTCCTTAGTTCGATGACGTCCGATTTGATATTCGACTTTCAAGTTTAAAACGTATGTGTTTAGTTTTGAATTGTAAAATGTATCGTAAACATCAACCTTTGATTATGAAAAAAATGAAAAGCAAGCATAAAAATTGAGTAAAAAGACGTGATTTAATCTTTAAAAACATAAAAAGATCAAAAAATACCTTTTTCGCGGCATTGTCTGTGTGTTGAAGTATATATTTGCATAATTGGTCCGATGGAAATGATTCCAGGTCCTGATTCTCAGGAAGGATAAATGAAATGTGCTTTTCACATTTGGTCTTTTTCTTACTACCGTGTAATGAAGTTGGCTGCACTATTTTCTCTATAACACTTTTAGTTGCATTGTTCGGCGAACTTTCAATTTTCGTCTGTAATTTCTCTGAAATTTTCTGCGGTCTAAATCGATTTAAAAAAATCGGACTAGAATTCCACAACAATCGAATATCGAAAATATTGAACAAAATCATTGCCAAACGATCTAGACCAATGCCAATTTCCCATCCAGCACTATATTCGGATCGTTCACTTCTTTCGAAAATCTCGTTTTTTATAAGACCGCCTCCAGAAATTCGATACCAATCATCTTTATGATAAACTTCAAACACCGACGATGGTTCAGTGGCGGCCAAATTCGCATCAGTCCAACGATATTTCACATCTGTTCCAAGAAAATGCTTTGCCATTTCGATCAATGCCGTTTGATACTCATCTTTTAAATGCGTTGCCGTTTGGGCTTGTTGTGTCTCTTTCTGTTTACTCCGGCGAAGAAGTTTCTCGCAATTTTTTGTGCGAATGATATTCATGCGATGAAACGCTGGAAAATGTAGCTCATCCATTTCACATTGACGATACAAATCGCAAATCAATATGAAATTGTCTAAGCCCGATTTTAAATAATTCACTTCACGATTGATGGTATGAGTTCGTAATATTAAATCTTTATTTACGTAGAAGGCATTTGGCACCTTTTCTGTCGATGTATTCGGCTCAAGGGGATCCAAGTTTTTATGGACCGGCAATTCAATGGTATTGTCTATATTTTCATTGAACCACTTTTTGAAGAAGGCGGTCACTTCTTCGTGAGTCAAACGCAATGGATGATTTGATTTTGCGTACAGATTTGCTCCAACAAACGGCTCAAAACGAGAGTTTATATTTGTCCAATCGTCTGTTTTGTACGTTGTTTTCTGTATTAATAATTGTTCTTTTATTGATTTAACAGATGACGAATAACAGCGAACATTTTGCACGAATTTTTCAATGATTTTCATTTTTATTAACATTTTTATTTGAATATCAAACTTCCTAATATTTTAAGCAGAACCGACAATCAAATGAAATTTTGAGGTTATGACTTGTCGTAATAGAGATGTCAAAATAAATTGAAATAATACACCGTTTTCTTTTGTTATAATTTTATTTTGTACGTGAAAGATTTATATTCATAATAGTTGTTTGATACATTTTGGGTTTTCAAATGTTTAAAAAAATATTTTTACAATGCATTTTTAGGGGAATAAACATATGAAAGCGCCCAAATATAATTTTTTATAGTAAAGTTGAATTGAATTCCCGTTGCTACTTTGTGATGACGAAATTTCACGACACATTTTGCAAGATTTCATCTCTGCTACAAAATACCTGAAATTTATGTCCAAAAATTAGGCCAAACCAATTTATGAAAAAAAAATACTTTAATTATAGACAAAAAGCATGTTTCAACCTACTTCCTCATAATGCAATCCCCGCGAATCTGAATATTATTTTGCATGTTTTAAAGATGATTTAAAGATTCACATTCCAAACGATATTTACATGCATCACTTGTGTGAAAGAATAAATGGCATATGCGATAACTGACAATAGAAATTGAATTTTTTTTTATCTAAATTTTATATCTCAATTTAAAAATTTGTTTTTTTTTCTTCAAATCACTTAAATCAAATTCGCTGGATAAATGTCGAACAAATACTTACTCAGTAGAAATATGAAACAGCAGGAGCAACAACAGGAGCATTGCATTTTAACAATGAGTTTTAAAATAATGGTCGAAGAATCGAAAGTAAATTTGTTAAACTATTTGGAAAGTGTGCCAATGGTTAAAAGGTTATCTTATCTGTATAGTTATAGTGAAAGTCAAAATACTTATTTGTTTTAAATTTATTTCCATTATTTTTGATAATCACGATCGGTGGTCTTTGACCTCAAACTAATTTTAAAACTAAATAACACGATGTGTAACGTTGAATTCTTTTTCAACTTCATCTCTAATCTGCCAATGAACAACATTTACTTCATCTCTTGTTAGATCCCGTTCCATATGGCGATAAATAACGCGGAAGCACAGGCTATTTTTCTTCTCTTTCGGATGAAAGAATTTGTCGATTATTTTGACCTAAAAAAGAAAATACGTTGAAAACCGAACCATTTCAAAATATTTGATTTGTGATTGACTTACTTGTTCGACAAGATCGCCGCCGATATCACGCACAAGTGCGTAAAAACTATTGACCGGAAAGTTGTCTAATGTGTAGGTATCTGGTAGCCAAAATGACACATCCATATAGCATTGGTTATACTTTGATACGGTTTTGTATTGCATTTCGGCTGTTGTTTTTGTCTCATGAAATTGACAAAGGAAACCACTGTCTGTGCTCCAAAATAATCGTATGTCCGGTATATTGTATAAAACCATCGCCAATCGTTCCAATCCAATACCAAATGCCCAACCAATTGAATTTGTGATGCCACCTTTTTCTAAAATTTCATTGCGCATAATACCAGCACCCAGCACTTCCAACCAATCATTATTGTACCAAATTTCAAGCTCAAACGATGGTTGTGTAAATGGAAAGTATGCGTCGACCCATCGATATTTGATGTTTTCGCCAAATAAATGTTTAACAAGTCCAACGAGCACCGTTTTCAACTCATGCTCCGCCAATTTAACCGCTTCAAGTGTATGACATGGTTGTTTTCCTGCCTCTGCAACTTTCCCCCTCAGATCATTCGCTGACAACAGTTCACTGTCACTGCCAGGCACATAATTTGGCTCAAATATTTCCAATCCTTCGTGGTTCTCAAACAATTTATCACGACGAATTGTTCGCACTGCATCGACTTGATGAAAAACTGGGAAATGACTTGAATCAATTTGATCGCGACGATACACATCACCAATGACTAGGAAATTATCCAATCCCGACTTAAGTAGATCCAATTGATGGGCTGTACAATGGGCTCTCAGCATGTGATCACAATTCAAATAAAAACTGTCTGACTTTTTTCGGCTAACATGATCGACTGGTATTAATAAACTATCGAAATTTTGCTCTAGCGTTACGATTGGACTTAAATTATCGGCTACGCTGAACAGTGGATTGCCTCGATTCGATATAAATGATTTGTAGAAATGGTTGACAATCTTTTTTCGCACAATTGATAACGGATGATGGTCTTGCAGGTAGATATTACGATTCAGATAAGATTGTATTCGTGGCTTTAAGTTAGTCCAGCCGTCTCGTTTATATTCTACATTGTTCACTATTAATGGCTCTTGCACTTTTAACGGCTTTGCTGTTGAACTGAAATAACGGCAGTTGTATAGCGCCGAATTGACGACAAACAATCGTCGCAGAATCATTGCTAAAAAAAATGTTCAACACACGAATGTTTTTAATGGACTTTTGTTGTTCAAAATAACATTGAGGTTATGTTTCATTTTGATTTGACGGACAATGTCACAATATACAAAGGTGTAGATAATTCTATGAGGCCCTACAAGGAGTTAAAAAAAAGATAATTCTACGGGCGTAGTTTTAAATATTTGGCTTTTATTTTTGTTGAATTGGATGAGTTCAATACATGAAATCTTTGAAGTTCTAGGTAAATTAAACAAACGGTGCAATAAAAAAACAAAACCATTATTTGCACATTTATGTGTTCTTATTCACTTCAATGATACTTACATTATTCTATTTTTTTTTATTTAATTTTCAATATTCAAAATAAATTCTAATTATTGGAAGAATTCAAATATCATATTCAGCTTCGTTAAGCTGAAAAATGACAAATGCCAATATTACGTTTCAAGCAAGCCATGGGAATGGTGGTGGTTTTGCTGAAAAGTCAGCTTTATCGATGAACAATTTCAGACGCGCCTGACGCATTTCTTCTTCTTGCTCCCTGCACAGTGGATCGACATGAACCTTTTCATCCAAAGTTGTTAGCATAAATGACGTATTTCGAAACGGAAGCAAATCGGTTTTGACCAATTTCCAAACTTTATTTTCATCCGATTCAAATTCGTGTCGTCGTTTGCGCCGCTGTATTGTCGTTTTTGGTTTGTCATTGATGGCCTCGCTTCTAGTTGTGTTTTTGTTGGTGCTTGTCGTTTGCACTGAGATCAACGTTTTATGTCGACAATCAGAACATTCAAATGTTTCATTTATGTTAGAAACGCGACAGGCGACATGATTACCACTATCGCCACAATAACGGCATCTGTCAACCAACCATTGTCCTTCTTCATCATAATAATTGCGGCCTTTGGGACATCGGCATATTTCGGCAACGCATTTATACGTGAGACCCTCAATATCCTTGTACGCACCAGTTCGTTCCCAGTCTAGTGATAAATTTCATTGAATTTATTATATTTGAACTGTGTTCATATTTCAGTGATGTTTTATCAATATCGCTCACCTGCATCTTTTTCCGGACAATAAATACCACGTTGTTGCAAAAAATGTAGATATTTTTTTCCTTTCTCATCCTCAGCATTACCGCAACATGGACATTTTGCTACCAAGCCAGCAGTTCTTACGTTCTGTTGCATACATTTTTTGTGGAAATAGCCTTGATCGCAGCACGATGGGATGCTCGTAATTTTATTATATTCTCCCATTGGATCGAAACAAATTTGACACTTCCATGCAGCATTATGTTTTTTATACTTTTCTGTGATCGCGACATGTCGATGGCAGTATGTTCGGAAATCATCCTTGAATATAAACAAACATCCATGTTGTACACCACAAATGACGTGAAAAAACCGACCACATTTTTTTGTCTTGCAACGAACTGTTGCTCCAATGCCTTTGCAGTAATAACATTTGGTGTTATTGTGTTTTTCGACCAGATCTCGAATGTCTTTCACAAGGAAACCAGCCAATTCGGTGTCGTCGTCACCATTTTGCACAGAATTCGTTGAAAGTAACTGAAAAAATTGCAACAATACTCAATCAATCAAAGAGAATAAAATTGAATGTCGACGGTAGGAAAGATTTAAAACGGTACTTACGGCACAAAACAAATGAATCGTACAATCTTCGAATGTTAACCATTCCCCAAGATCTAGTATGTTGGTGTCGCTGAATTTACAAATTTCACAAACTACATGAGACGCCATGCTGTTACTTCTTTCTGTTTGTAAAGTATATCAAAAACCAATTTGTGTGAATAATCCAGAATAATCTATTGTCTTGTTTTAGTTACTACGTTGCGATTCAATTTTAATTTGATTTGTCGGTTGAAATATATATTTACCTCAAACTATGATACGAAAAACGTGTGCACAATGACAAAATTTACTCAAATCAAAATGAACTTTATATTTTACTAACGCAAATGTTTTATTGTCGCAATCCTAGATTATTTTATGTTGCAGCGCAAAACAGTCAGACGTTAACACAGCAATACGATGCACATTTCGAAGAAAGATATTTGACAGTTGCGTTGACGTTTCGTTCATCGATTTGAGCTACAACATTCGGGCTAATATTTTGTTTATTTCAAACATTCGAATTTGCATTGCCCGGGATATTGCACTAATTATCGACACTTTAGTTTTAATGATGATTTTTTCGAAAATGTTGTGAATTCCATGTTTTTGAAGTATGAATTTAAAATCAAAAATCATTTTTTTTTATTGGAAACATTGATTTTATTGAAAGTTTCGAACTAATTTACCGAATTTGCACAATGATCGAATAAAAATCTATGAAATATGTCGAATCAAAATGTCATTCATCAAAGATGCGTTTATAGTGTACATGATCCAGCACATTTCCAGCATGGATCACATTCAGAGTCCGAACTACATCCAACATACTGGAAACTTTGAGAATGTGCTCTGGTGGTATAACACCATTCACCGCCTAAAGAGAGATAAAGTAAATGTTTTTCATGGGCAACACATTAGAGATGGAATTAAAATAAAAAACAATGTATAACAAATATGTATTTCGACTTTTTTACTAACCGGTAAGACTGGCTCCACACCTACCAATAAAGAAATAATAAAATAAATTACTAATGTGTACGCGTAAAAAATTTGCATCGGAATCATATGAGAAAAAAAACTGTGATTGATAGAGATTGTTTACAATTACAAATGAATTTCATACCAAGTCCAACAATATCCTTTATGACAACCAGCTTTTGCGGCGCATTCAAACGCATTTGTTATTGATTTGGAAATCAAATCAACTCCAACGCCAATTCCTGCATCACTCAGTTGTCGTTTCGTTCGATTTAAACCTGTGTCAATCATCTCCAAGTCTTGGAGCGTGCTTGCTTTTGGATTCCCCTCGACCGTATCAATTGAAATACAAGCCACAGCGAGTAACACTAGTGCGAATACAATTTTCGGTTGGAATACTATATTGACCAATGGATATTTCTTCGATTTGACTTGATAGAGAGATGTCAGCTGGTGTGTATGCCTTGAATAGACTGAATGCAATACTACATTTGATGCCCATTTTTATAGGAAAGTGTTGTCTTGAAAATAATGAATTGTCATCAATAATTATGAAAAGAATCAGATAAATATTTACAATTTCGATGAAATTAACAAAAAATAAAAAAGATCTCTAGAGAATCTAATGATTGCAAGGAAAAACCAGCATTTTTATTCATTCCAATTGTCGTACATCATTTGGAAAACCACAATTTATTTGCACAACACAAAATTGAAAAATCAATCGATGCGGTTTTCTTATGACAAACAAGGAAAGAATTGAACGTTCAATAACATTGATTAATAGAAAATCCAACACAACAATGGAATAATTCAACTTACGCTGCTATATGGAGGAATTTTGATCTCAAGAATTCAAGATACATCTTAACACTTTAATCACCTAATGCAGATCACAAATAAATAATCAATGTAAGAATTACAGCTCACTTTTCATGAACCACATTAAATTCCAATAGTCTTACACTTTTTCGAATTATAATTGAGTATAACTCAATGAAACGTAAAAAAAATAAATACATTCTTATTATACTTAGCAAAATGTATTATTTTATTAATATTTTGATTTAATTTGTGTATATAATTTTATTTACTCATTAAATCTTTTAATTTCAAGAAAACATAATGAGATTAAATCTGGAATATAAAAAAATCTGGAATATTGTTAAGAATAAAATTTGTGAAAAAAATCAGAACATTTAATTTCTATATCAAAACATTGTTCCGTACAAACAATTATTAAATAAATATAGATGTTGTGTATTCAGCGACAATTTGTCTTAATTTGTTCATATATTATTCCATAATTAAAACAAAAGCCGTGTCTGATTAAATGAAACAAAACCAATAATTTGAAAATAAATTTGATTTAATTCTCATATTGTGTGACTCATACAATGTAGTATAGAGTTATTAATAATAATCCATAGTTTTGGCTAAAACTTAAAACTAAGTTCAGTACGACACATTCCAGAAATAATTTTTTATATAATTACAGGAAAATGACTATTATAATAAACCTAATACGCCCAAGTGTTTACGGAACAAGGAAACGTTCATAATTTGCGTAGATTTATATGCCAAAACGTGTCTATTACGTAGAGTATTTGATATCGCAATGATTATATTGAACTTGAACTGTGAATAACGATCCTTCTGCTTATCAGCATATGTAATATATAAATATGAGCGGATGAAAAGCATACAGTTTGCAATCAGTTTTTTTAACGATTTAACGCATTTGTCAGGAATTTCGGTGTAAAACCACAAAAAATGATTGCATTAAATTTCTTTATTTTAATGATGTGTGTTTTGTTGGTGAAATGTAACGAAGGAATTGACTGCTATGAAGCAGAACATTGTGATGTATTTGATTTAAAACGTGGGAGAATTTGTTGTCCAAGTATTGACAACGATAATGGCGTCATCGTATGTGATAAAGAGAATTTCAGGGGAAATTGTAAATTTTATTCAATGTACGGAAAACGGTGCTTAAATTTAGATGAAAATGATTCGGCAAGTTCGGTGAACACACTTGGAAAATGCTTTCGAGTATACGAACACATTAACTGTGAGGGACGATCAAGTCCAGTTCTGCCTGGCAGCCCATCACACAACAGCCTTACAGTTCTGCACATGAATAATATCATCACTTCTATTGGACACTGTCACAAAGATTAGAGTCATTATCTAGTAGAATTTATTCGCGTTAAACGATTGAATAGTAAATAATTTAATTATTGTAGATTTTTTAAATTTCACACATTTGTACATTACATAATCGAACTGAATGGAATAGATTCAAGTGTAATAAGAAAAATGCATTTGTAAGAGATAAAATTAAATATCTATTCTGAAAAAACGTTTTCGTAGTTTTTTTATACATCCCCAAATGTTTTCTAATCCTCGTCGAAATAAACTATGAAAATGAAACAATTGAAAGTGGAAATCATAGATGGGAATAATTTTTATTTCTTTAGAGACATTTTGATAAAACAATGACAATATTTATGACAAACTAGTTAAAAAAATGGTTTTATTTTAAATATTCCAAATTTTGACCAACTCACATTCATTATTACTAGATGTGATGTGGGGGTTGCAAATTGTTGTGAAATTGCAGTGATGATTAGTTTTTTTATATGTTCCCGTTGATCTTTCAATTCCTTTTGATGTTCTTTACGAATTTTTGCTATTTCACTATCATGCTCTTTTTGAAGTTTTTCAGCAATTCTATATTGACCGGTGTGAATATTGTAAGCGGATGATCAATATGCAGGCTTTTCGTATCAACATAGCTGTGATTCGGTATCCAATTCAATTTGATCGATTTACTCGTTGACCAGAAAACCGATAATAATTCTTCTCCGATAATTGCCAACGATACTGGATGATTGATGTATGATGTGTTTCACCTGAAATTTCTAAGTGTTTACTTCCAAAATCCATCACATTCCAATGCAATTAACACTCACCATGAAAATCAGTATATGAGATTTCTTTTAGATTCTTTTAGTTTGTGATCAGCTACTATTGAAATGGCTTCAGTTCCCAATTCTTCTTCAAGCATATAGTAATACGGACCTCTACCATTTGGCGATATTGCATCAATGTGTGTAATACACACTGTGTATGGCCGGACGATCGTAATGCCACGTATATTTTTCCGATTTTTGTAATCGCAGCCAGTGCAATTGGAATTTGGGCTCCCATGAAATGTTGCACTACTGCACGCTGTCGAGTATTAAATGAATATAATTCGATTGTACTGCGTTCGGAATCATTCCAATATAAATTGTTGGTTTACCGAATGGCAATGCGAATGCGGTTACTTAGTTGATGTTTTTACTCATCAGCACCTTTGTTCGGGCTCACTTGAATGATGACTTTGCATTTGTTATCAGCCACAATGAAATTGCGATGACATCACATTAGTATGGTAATATTTTTCCCATTGCCGTCTTCATGTCTGCCAAATGATTGATGCTCGAATGTAATTAAATGATTTCAATGTCCATTAAAATAGTCTTTTGCTTGCCATTGGATCGGCATATGTGTTTATCGGCTGTTAATTCCATAGATTTTGGACAATCGCATGTATACGAATCGTTTGTATTGAACAAGCATAAATGACTACATTCGCTTGCAATGCAAAAGTTCAACAATGATAAATATGAATATCATAGATTAGATTATCTCGAATGATTGTTGTCAGATTTTTGCCTGTGAATTTATTACACAATTGACAACTCTTCCAATCCCAATCGTATCAGTATAACGAATCATGGAAAACGGCAATACCATACGGACACATCTTTGATTACTTGTGTTCGATCACTTCCATAGAGTCGACAAATTTCAATTGTTTTCATCCATTAGGTATTAAAGAGATTAAAAATTGAAAAAATAATAAGGAATGTGTACGAAAGCAACATAATTTTTGTTCAAATTCGCTAGTTCGTTCTAGTTTCTGCTAGTTTTTCTAGCGTGAATAACCTCTTGCTTCATAGTTAGATCACTCTTATTATTTGTTTTTGTCAACTGTCTGAATGTATATTCTATATTGTATACATAATTATGTAAACTACTAAAGTTTATATTCCAGACCGTTCCAGACAAAACAATTAAGGTTTCGCATAAAACGATTCGAATCTTACTGAGCAATACTGTTTATTTGTCATTGTTATTTTAAGAAAGATTGTGCAGGCATCGTTTACTTTGTAAGCATAGTACATAACTTAGTTGATTTGTGGTGTAATAAACGAATATAACGAAAGGAAAGTCAAAAATTTCGTTTTTGTGTTCTTTTTCCTTTTTGGTGTTCAATTTCAGTCGTTTTGCACACTTGAAACCGAACAAATGGATAAAAGAGAAAAAAAAACAATAAAATTAAATCGTACGTAAAACGTGAAACCTTTTTACCACATCGTACGTTATCTTCTTTTCTGTTTCAGCACCAAAGTTGAAGTGTAAATATTCACATAACTAGGATCAAAGTGTGTTTTTACAACTAACTTTGTATATACTGAACATTTGACATGCATGTATGATTTTTGGTCTCCCATATCAATATTTATATATGTATGAAGAGAGCATTCTAATGGCGCGCGTGCCGGTTTCATGGCTACGTATGTGTTAGTGTGAATACATTTGTTTGTATTATTATGAGTGGTGTACGAATATAAACCAAGCGGACCTCATTAAGTTAACCAAGCACTCAAACTTATCAGTATCGTTTTAAGCGTCCAACGATTTGCTGTTTGGATAAAATAATTTTTGGTGAAAAAATATATTGGTCATTTCCTGAAAAAGTCCTGAGATTGTTCATTTGGATAACTATTCCACTATGAAGTGAATTCAACTTGAATGCCGTTTAATGAAGAATATGGAAAAAATTATCTACATCAATTGAAGAAAAAGTAAATTTCTATGTGAATTATTATTATGTTTTATAGTTAAGGCCGTCAGTTCACAGGCTCTTTCAGTATAAAATTGCCAATTCGAGTGTGCATCCATCGTACATATTAAAATATACATTTCTCAAATCAAAATGAAAATTGTATTCAATTAATTTTATCATTGCACAATACAAATAATATTAAAAGTTGTCTCTTTCATTATTTCAGCAACCAAGTGCAACCAGAATGGCCGAAAACATTGAAAACACTTCAGATGCTATGCAAAATTCGCAAGAATCTTTTTCTAGTGGTGATGAAAATGATGAAATTACTGGAAAAAATGACAAACTATTTTCGCTCATTCGAGAAAACTCATTATTGACAGAAATAGAAAACGTATTTTCAGTGCGAGGGGTAAATATAAACTATGAAAATATCAATGGGGATACACCATTACATGTAGCTGTAAGAAAAAAGAACCCAAATATCGTTGAGTTGCTAACTGCTCGAGGAGCAGACGTGACTAATTGCAATAAAAAAGGAAAAACTCCTATTGATTTGGTGAAAAAACGTTTGCAAAATAGCCCACACGATAAAAAATTGCAATCAATTGAAGCACTCTTAATTAGAGTTCGGCCCGGTGTATCCGGAATAAGAAGGCCGAGTGAAGAAAACGAAATGGATGGGCCCGATCTCAAAAAACCAAAAATTGAGATACCTAAAACTAATGAAATAAGAGAAACGTATCCTGGTCGTGGTTTAAAACTCAACGTCCATGGTACACTATATCAATCCAAATTATTGGCACTATTCGTTAAGCGTGCATTGGATAAAAAATATCATTTTCGTCTGGCGACAGAAATGGACGACGCAGAGAAATTTGATGATGTGGTGCTTAAATACAAAACCGATGCTAAATTGGAAACTTGGACTTATCGTTTTTTGCAAGCGAAACACAAACAAGATGGCATCATGAAAAAGATCACAATTAATGAACTGACAAGCATGGAAGATCACGATTTTAGTCTACAAAAATACTTTTTGTCATTTTGTAAGATCAACGCTAAAGATCTATTTAAAAACGCCAATTTCGATGATTTTACTATCCTCACGAATACAGATTTTAAGTTTATGGAAATCTCTGACGATGAAAAAACGTGCGATGAGCTTGTTAAACGTTGGCGACGTGTTTTTTCAAAGTGTACTGACTTAGATGGTGATAGTATTTTACGTGTTCGCGGCTACAAACCCAAAAAATTTCAGTTTGCGGAAAGTGAAAAGAATTATCTAGCCGATTTTTTCAAATGTGATATACTTAAAAGCGTTTTAAAATCACCGGAAATTAAAGAATTACGCTTTGCTACAGAAAAATTGAACATTTTGGAGAAAATTTTCCATTTGGAAGATAAAATTCAAAAAGCAGAATATGAGATTCGGGAATATAAATCGAATATGAGATCGAGAAAAGGAGAATTTATGAACATGATTAAGAAGTTTATAGAAATAACGGAACAAATTCGAAATGATAACAACATACACGAAAAGTGGACAAATTTAGAAATGAAAGTCAAAGAACTTCAAGGTACTAATGGAGTTAAAAAAGACTCAAAAAACCAATGCAAAATCTTAATGAATGATATTTTTTGTGATGTTGAGATATTTTTGAGGGAAGCTAATGAGATTCTTAAAATGTTTAAAGAAAGTTATGAACAGTACCAAAATTCGCATTCAGAAAAATTCAAAATGTTAGAAGATGATTTGAAAATACTAAATAATGATGATTATAATTTAAGAAAAATTTGGAAACAGATTTCCGATTCGAACGACATAGAATGGATTAAAAATGAAATTAAAAACAGTAGTATATTAAAACAAAAAGAACGAATCACAAAGAGCACATTCATAAATATCGAAGCGATAAATGCATCAATTAAGGATGTACAAGATATTATAGACAGAAAGTTACAATCCATTGTTTTAAACATTTCATTTATAAAATTGGCATTAAATGATGATACATTCGATACGTATCTCAAACAGTTTTTAGAGAAATTTTGCATTATCACCAATTATCCAAATGAAAATGAATTGAGTGAGATTATTCGACAAGAGCTGAGCGAAGAATTTAATCTATTGAACATTGACGTAGTGAGCAATTCTTTTGAAGTGGAAATGATCAATTTTCTCAAGGAATACGACAAAGGAGTGGCGAAATTTTATTATGGAGAAGATGGTGTGAAATTTTTTGAACAAATGAAGAGGAAGATCGATTCAATGATGAGTATCGGTTTATGCAAAGTCTATACGGGAAAACTCGAAAATTATGAAATATCTTTCGAAAAAAAATTTCAAAAATTAATCGACTTTTTATCTGATGAAAAACAAATCCTTCATCTCACAGCGCCGTTCACGCGATTATCTGCAATAAAAGTACATCGAAATTTATTAAATTCTAAACAATTTAGTGAAGAAGATAGTTATATTTTCATTCGTCTAAAGGTTATTTTAGAAACAGAAAAGATACGTAAAATTATTTTGAATGCATTTAAATCTGGTCTAAAAAATAATGCTTACAATGTTTGTATAATTGAATGTCACCAAGAATGCGAAGAATTTGTTAAAAATGTAAACCTAATACATGGATTGTTTCAAGAATTTTTAAATATTCTATCTGCTAATCCATCGAAAAAGTTGATTCTAATTTCTCATGAGAATGAACCATTTTCTGACATATTCAAAGATAAATTTGAAAATATAGAAACATTCAGACTTTATTCAAGTCAAGAACAAGAGGAAAATGCACAAGAGGAATCAATTAAATATAAACCTATAAAGGACAAGACGTCATTTGACGATTTAGATCGCCTTTCGCAAATTAGAGTACTAGAAAGAGAAGTAAATTTTCAAGGTCAAAGCCGATATTTAATTCAACTCATAGACAGAAAAACAGCAAGTGCTGTAATTAATCCCGAAAATTTATTGAGATTAATTGAAAGGGAAATTATTCAAATTGGAGATGAAAAGGCATTCAGTTCTATTGGTTACGTGAAAGATTATTACATCGATAGAAAGTTTGATTGCATACAAAAATCAATGGTTTTTGATGAAGAGGAATTAGTAAATCATTTTTGTTCACAAAAGATAACAATTTTGGCGAACTATGCAGGCATGGGAAAATCCACGGTTCTAACTAGTTTTGCAAACAAGATTAGAGAAATTAAAGATGGACTTGAAAATACATGGATTGTGCGATTAAATTTAAGTAATTATTATTGTGCCTTAAGGGAGGCTAAATTTAAGACAGGATATATAGAATTCGTAACCAAAATTTTGTTTCGTGGCAAGGTCGATGCCAATGGTGAATTTCAACGGAAACTTTTTAAAGTGGCTCTCGAAAAACAGATGCATGACAAAAAAGGTCGAAAGCCTCAAGTAATTATTTTGCTCGATGGGTTTGACGAAATCTGTTCCGATTGTACAAATAATACAATCAAGCTGATTTCTTCTCTAAAAGAAACCGATATCAGGCATATGTGCGTTACTACCCGTACTCACGAAGCAGATCTCTTAAAGGAAAATCTCGATTCACCTGTTTTTTGCTTACAACCTTTGTTGCCTGAAGAGCAAATCGATTTTTTAAATAAATTTTGGAAATGGCATTTGTTAAATTGTCGGTTAGTATCAGGTGAAGTTCGTCCAAGAAAATATAATGATATTAAAAATTATTTGAAGGATATTGAAAATTCGTCAAAAAATGAAGAACTTATCAAAACGATCAATACCATTCAAAAAGAATGTCCCAATAAACGCTTTGAAAAACAACTTAAAGAAAGTTTAGGAAGCCTTTCATTTGAAAAATATTTAGCAGAATTGATTTCCCCTTGGAATGAACAGAAAGAAGGAATGTTTGCGTTGAGCGATGAGAATTTTCACGGTACTCCGCTACATTTAAAAATGTTAACGGAAGTGGTTTTTGCACAGAAACAAAGACACATAGAACTTCTGACAAACTTCGAACCGTTACTGTTGTATGAAAAATTTATTGAAATAAAATACAAATTGTATAAAATCGAAAAAGCAAAAATCAAACGTGGTAATCAAACTGCAAAAGAGATACATGAAAGTAGTACAGAAATTTTGAATGGAATTCATAATGCGTTGGCCGTGAAAAGCATATTTCCAAAAGAATATGAAAAACAAGAATTGCCAAAAATTACAGGGTTGATGAACTTAAAAAAACGTACTGAAAATGAAAAAGAGATAGAGGAACGAGTTCTTAGAGTTGGACTGTCGGAGGTGCGGTCGGATCAACTTGAATTTAGTTACCGTAGTTTTGCCGATTGTTTCTTAAGTCGATATTTGATTGAGAATTCCGAAAATGAGGAAGTTCAAAAACTTTTAGTCGAAAAAATTCTGCATGAAAATACTTATGGAAATATTCGTCAATTTTTCAATGACCAACTGAAAAAGCCGGATACAAAAATTTTATTCACAAGTGATGTAAAGCACATAGTTCAGCGAATGAGTTCTGAGGATAATATACTTGATTCATTGACGAAAGAAGGTTGTCACAAAATTGTTGATTGTTTAATGGAAAATCTATCAAATTGACGAAAGTTATAAATTTGTACAAATTATACTGTTTTAAATTTTGTTTTAAGTTTGAAATATGGTAATAAATATCGAACTAATGTTTGTGTGTCATTTATTTCGAATCGATCGAAAAGAAATGATGAGAAAAATGTTTGAAAACAACCTGTTATCTGTAATGTATTTTGCTTACGCCAGTATACTTCCAATCAGACGTCGAACACTTCAATTTACAAATCAAAACAAAGAATACATATCATGAATAAAAACAAATAATTAATGTGCGAATAAATGAGTTTTTTTTTATTTTCTGCCTCTTTGTCACTTTTCATAAAATACATTTTTTGGTTTAAATTGATGACAACATTTATATAAAATATATTTCTTTTTCATTAATAATTTGATTTAATTTGTATATATAGTGCTATTAGTTTTAAAAGTTAGCTTTACTCGGATTAGATCATTTGAATACAAATACAACAAAATGAGATTAAATTCTTCTTAAAAATAAAATATGAAAGAAAAAAAAAACAGAACGTACATTTTCTATGTCAGGGCATTGATTCTCATAAATAATTATTTAGATGAAGTTGTACGTTGAACAAAATTTAGTGCTATTTTTTCTAAAATCTTTTAAATATGATAGTTTTCATGGTTTATACTCGTTTAGAAAAACAAAAAACTGTTTTTTATTAAGTAAAATAATAAAAAAAAACATTTGACAATAATGTAAATTTGATTTTTGTTGTACATTGAAGTTTTAACATTATTTCCCTAAAATCATACAGTTTGAGATAGAGATACTTTTAATAATTCATAGTTTTGATTCATTTGGGCAACACAGATTTCTACGAACAATTAGATAAAGAAAACGTGTAAACCTTCCATCTAATTCATAATAACATACCTATGTTTACGTCCATTTCGAGTGATTTGTAAAAAATTGCAACTTTTTGCAACTGGTTCCATTTTGTTGACACTCAATGTCTGTTACATTTACTTCATTGGACTCTCACTTAATCGATGTTTGGCTGATGCTGACCGTGGTTTACCGCATGACCCACGCCGCAATGAACTCACACTACCTCGAAAACCCTCGTGACCTCCATCAAGGGATTCCGTTGAAAAAGCTGTAAATATACATTTGTCAATCTACCGTTATTTACAATGTATATAAAAAAGAATCAAAGTTCAATGCTAAGATTCTTATCATTATAGTTGAACTAAAAATGATCCCGACAATTATCAATACAATGTCATAGTACGTTAATCAATCTATTAATATTATTTATACTACCGGCTGATCTTATGCAATTGTAACTTATGGCTCAAGAGAAGAATATAAAAAGGCAGTTTTTTAAATTCCGTTTTGACTGAACAGTCCAACAAAAAAAATACCTTTATCAGTTGGTGAATTCAACGTAAGACTGCTTAAGCTGCAGCTTAAATTATGGTTCCTTGTTGACACGTGTGTTCCAGGTGAATCTTCAATTGGTAAGCATGTTTCTACCATTGCTTCCAGGCAATTTACGAATAGTTCAGACGACTCTCCCATCAAATTGTACTACAAATACATTTAAAAACTAAAATAGTTGCCACATTACATCGCAAGGCATAACAAAGTACTTACGTTTACGCTTGTCTTTGGGAATGGGCCGGCAAAACGCCATAATCCACCAAAACCACACGATTGTAAGAAATGAAGTTGTTGTTGCGATGGATCTTCAGTGGCCAACATATTTTGGATGATACTTTGAATTGACTTCAAAATAGTGGCATCATTTCGAATCGCTTTCGAAATAGTACTGTCATTCGATAGAATATTGTTGATTTTTTGATCAAGCAATGAATGGCTGCGAGGAAAAATGAAGTTAATTTCATTTCGATTCATAATTATTTCAAGTAACAGCACACTTACATAACTGGAAATACTCGTGGAAAAACAACAGAACCTTCAGCTAGGTATTGGTACAAAACTCGTGTTTCGTTCTCGTTGCCGGTGTACTTGACCAGAGTGGCAAGCACAGTCAATACTAATGCCTGAGTTGATAAATCTGGTATGACTTCCGGATCAAGTAATACATTCGATTCATTTGATACTGATGATCTTGAACCACGTTCCTGTTCATCAATCATGCCGATGAAGAAAAAAATTAGTAAAATATTGTTTTTGGTCTTAAAATTATTTGACGCATATTCATTTCGAAAAAAAAGAAACATATAAAATTTGATAGTTGTAGTTAGTCTTACATGCTAAAGTCTGATTTAATTGTCTGATTCAAATAGATGAAATCGATGGCATTCTCAAATAAAAACATAAACAACACAAACATGCAAAGAAAGGTATAAAATCTTCTGAATTGAATAAGAATCGTACAACGAAAACCATATAGATCTAGACTTTTTTTTATAGAGACAACAGTCACTGAGGTACATAAAACATAGAGAAAAATTGTGAGACAAATACATGTAGTTTGAGTGTGAAATTTGGATAAAAACAATGGTGCAGAAATACATATTCTCAAATTAAAAATCGAAAATTGTGATCACATTGAGAATATTGTTTGTGTTTTGAATTACGAGCACATTTGCAAACAACAATAAATGAGACAACAAAAATTTCGTAACATGAGCCCGATGATGGAAGACAAACAGAAAACGAAACGAATACAGAAGGACAAAACCATAGAGTCGAGACAGAAAATAGTAGATTTTGATTCAGATTAGAGGAAAAACAGACAAAGATTTTTTTTTGTTTCAAAAACCAATTTGTAAAAGCGAGTCAATATGATGGTCATGGTGATTTTGCTTTGATTCAAAACGACAAAGAAAATAATAATTGTACAGAAAAAAGAATATAAACATCCGAAAACTCCATTCGTTTATTTAGAGAGAAATCCAAATGCATCTGTGTAGTGTGTGTTGTGTGTGTTCTGTTTGTGTGATCGATGAAAAGCTTCAACATATTCAAATCTTAGTCATGATGAAACTTTTCATACATTTTGTGTGTCTTGTTTGTATGTTTGTGTGTGTGCTTTGTATTGTTTGTCTTGGCAAACATCTTATCTTACTTTGACTGTTGTAATTTTTTGCAGACAATCGACATAATTACAATCATCACCGTGCTGATGATTCGGTTCATTAGAATGGTTTGGATTATTTGTCGCATGTTCAGTGGAGGAGACGGTGTTTGTCGAACGATTTGCTTGTAGCTCTTGTGCTGGTTCAGAGGCGGATCGACGATTTTGAAAATCGTGCCGTTGATAAATGGGATTTGCATTCGGATGCACATTATGGCCCATTTGATTTGCATGGGCTACACCATGCGCCGACGTATTTGTACTTGTATTATGCATCGCATGAACTAATTGATTATGATGACCGTGAGAGTGTAACGTTAAATCTAAACTTCGCCATGATTTTCCTTTGATTGTCGTATCCTAATTGTGATCGTAGTACACATATATAGTAGATATTTAGTGAGATAAATGAGTTTACGAGAAAACAAATGTTCATATTATGTGAACAATTTTCAATTGCTGTGGAAAATGAAAGATCTATGAATGTGGCTGTGTTTTTCTAACAGTTTTTCTTTTGATCAAATCTAGGACTCGGTGAACTAATTTACAAATGGACAAAATACACTTTTAAGTTTTACTTATTTACAGTTTCTGAGTCAATACAAAAGAAAAATCTGATTTATTTCGTAAGTTTTTTTATGATTACTTAGCGGATCACAATTTTTTTTATACAAAAATTAAACATTGACGCAAAAAGTCAAATTACTTCTACATCTACGTTATTTTGTGGAAAAAACTAATTGAAAATAATTTCGCTGATTTTGCATTCATAAAAATAAATCGAGGTTCATGTAAATATATATTGATTTTTTTCTTTTCAGCTATATTCAATTAACTACTGGCTAAGATCGCGTTAAATGCACCACTAATATATAGTAACCTTCTTTAAGTCAGAGTATGGCTAGACCAGAATGGTCAGTTGCGGTTATTGGTAGTTGCTATTTACAGCTACTGGCCACTTGTCTCGCCATTTAAATATTAATGGAAACCAAGATAAATATCGCGCATTCATATTAGTAAGATATTAAGAATGACTACAATTCAAAAAAATCCGATTCATTAATTCAAGGTTAACCTATGTTACTATCTTTAGATAGACTATAGTGCAATGCGACTTTAAATAGTAAAAAAAATAGATATAATTGGCTCTGAGCCCTAGATATTATTATTATTATTTTTGTAAAAACTGTGAATCCATTTAAGAAAAAAAGTTGCGAGAATCCACAATGAGTCAAAAACCAAACATATAAATATATTGTAGGTAATCGCTTAGAACATTGATATCACAATAGACTTTAGTCACAACAAATGGATCTTTATATACAAAGGTTTGGGTATTTACGTCGGTATTTTTTAAAAAAGTATTTACAGATTTCTTGTTTGTTTCAAGGTTGGTTAAAGTTTAGATTAGTTATTTGTAAAAGAAATGCATTCCATTCTACTCACGGTTTGGTTGTTAATATTTTCGGCGTCAACGACGATTAAATCGGGCTCGGCTTCCACTGGCCATCGAGGTAACGTATGCTTTACATGACAACGTGAACGCACTTCTTCCGAAACAGCAACAAGAGCTGAAATTGAGAAAAAATATTTTTATTTGTAATTCAAAAAAGTACAAAATGCAGTTAAAATAATTTACCGGTTAAATAAGCCACACTATCTGAGCTGACTTCGAATTTATCGCGTTGCATTGGTTTCGCAACGATTCCCAGCAATACGGTAAGAACTCGCGATGTCCGAGACACAGTTGTTGGTGTCGTATGCCGAAAGCCTTTCAATAAATGACCAACCAAAGCGAAATGGAAATTTGATTTGAAAGATAATCCAACAGCGTGATCGAGTTGTTTAAAGTGCCACTCAAGTGGTTCACGGGTAGCCATCATAACATCGCTGATGTTCTATAAAATTAAACGAGAACGATTGGCATCAAAACAAGAATTGCCGCATTAAATTGTTTTGCATAATAACTTACATTTTTATCAAAAACTCCTTGTGAACTAAGCGTATGTAAGTTTTGTTCGAGTAATGCCAAACCAGCTGCGTACAGTGTTTCATTATCTAATTGAAGAACGGATGTGGCAACCCAGAATAGTGCACGATGAATTGGTGATTCCTGACAAAACAAAATGATTATTAACTTTGGAAAAAGGAAACGGTCCTGATGTAAGAATTTACCTGTCGCAGAACCGGTTGGATTCGTGTTAAGCACATGACAAGAGCTTCAATTAAGACAATGAATTCGTTAAAACTTTCCAAAGCCTTAACCAAAATGCGTAATATCTCTTTAACGTCTTGATCGGTGACCGATTTGCTGATGCATCCGTAGACGATGAGCGCACGCGGTTGCAGTGCCGGATTATGACAAAATGCAAAGCTTCGTGATAACGAAGTCCATGTATGTAACCAATCACAATTAGGAATATCTCTCATACACGTCTCCATGATTTCAAGCAAAGCGTCGGTGATCACTTCGAGAGAGGTCAATGCAAGACGTTCACGATCTGGTGGTTCCCTTTCGTTACCCAGCCATCTTTCATTTGGATGGCGACAACTCGAACGGAATGCAGTCACCGCTGCCGATTTAACTTTACTAATACCGAACAGTAAATAGAATTTTGGCAAGGAAAATTCATCAAGAGCCAATCGAAGCACACGCTGTGTTTCCTCTGTTCAATATTTAAAAAATAAAATAAAATAAAATTACAACAAAGTCATGAAAACCGCCTTTTATGCTTTGGAATTTACCTGAAAATGATGCTTTGTGCACTTTTTTATCGGGGAATTTTTCATCCTCAAGCGATTGGGTTGTGCACGTACATAGAGAGTGAATGATGTTTATGACGAGACCATGAGTTGAAGCTCGCATCGAAAGTGATCCGGAGCATACTAAAAATGTAACTGTATGAAATAGATATGGCAAATGACGGGCAACATCTAAACAATTATTGAATGACAACATAAGTAGATAGCGCGATAAAATCGATATATCGTCCCACATCATGTGTTGTTCCAAGTACTGCGTTGGATTCGTGCATGTTTTGTCAATCACCCGACACAAGCGTCCAATCACTTTCTTGGCCACAAGTTGAACATTTGCCGATGCCAATGCGACGGCAGTGTCTGCCATTATTTCAACTTGCGGCGAACCCAATCCCGATATAACTGATTTTTGAATAAAGTTATCCAGCACCATATCGATGAGCTCCGGAATTTGACCGATCGCACCCCAAATCTTTGCTTGAATTGATGGATACATTTCTTTTTGTTCAATCGTTAAATTGATAAGACGCTCCAGAATCTGAGAAACTTTTAATTTTTTTGTATCGTCGCTCGACTTGCAAAACCTGCATAGAATACAAAAATTATTGTTTTCCATATTATCCATTTCAAAAAAATTGGAAAATAAAAACAATCGACAAACCTGACTAAATTCTTCAGCCACGGTGTCATGTACTCCAAGCATAAATGTTTCAGTTCGATGGTACTTCGTTGAAAGCCTTGAATACATTCTTCAAGAAATTCAAGCGTTAGATGCGGTTCATTGTTGGCCAATTTCTCACTGACTTCTTGAATGAAAATCGTGTTATTCGATGGAATGCACAGTCCTTGAGTTTCGAGTAATTGTCCTTCGATTTTGAGATCAAATGTAGCTGTCAGTGCACACAACTGATTATATGCGGCCGTTCTCAGGTTTGGATCTGACGATCCAAGATTTAATAATGCCATATTTAAAAGTGTTCCGGGTACGTCTTTGGGCCGAATTTTTTGATGCACAACCACCGAATCCGGTTGGCTAAGCTCCCAGCGATTTCGAATGTGAATGATTGCTTGAACAATATTATCACAATCATTGTGAATGAAACTCAATTGAGAACTTTCATTGGCAATTGACAATGTAAATTGATTATCGTCGACCAGGCACACTTCCTCAATTTCGGACGCATAATAAACATCGTTCAGCAACACACCATGCGAAAGTACTTTGGTTTTTTCAGTCGCTGTTATTTGCAACGCTGTGGGTCCCACTTTAATTTGGACTTTTGTATCTTTGTGGCTTAATTTCAGTGCATTGTTAAACACTTTTAAATCTTCATCCAATGACAACGTCGCCCCGGGCAGCTTTTGTTCGTCATGTGCTATATAATCGGATATTGTTTTTGGATCAACGAAAATCAATTTTCGATTACCTTTTAGCGGTTGGAAAATTCTGTCGTGATATTTCGTGTACTCACGCACCCAAGAATTACAATTGTAAATGTAAACTGTATTCAGATTTTTGTACGCTACACTTGGCAGAACGGCAAACCATTTTGCCAGAAATTCGGTGCGAAAACGATTATCGGAACATGTGTGCGTGAAATCGATGAACACTTCATATTGTTCATTTAAAAATGGTTTAATGGTTAAAATGACGTGATAAATGAGGAGATCACCATTTGTTTCACCAATTTTATAACGACGCGCAATGTAGTAGAAGACTTTTTTTCCATTTCGACTTTGACCCGACTGATAGAATATATTATTCGACTGCAACGCTTTAAACTCGTCCCTTTCGTGCGCTTGGAGTTTATTCATAAGGTCTTCAAAGTTTCCGGACGCAATGTCCAATGAACTCCAATTTAAGCTACAAAAAATATTTGATTTTCATTCAATAGACTATTATTATTTTGAATTCACCGGCAATCTTACCAAGATTCGGTTTTGTGTTCGGGCGGTCCAAGGTATGCAAGCAATGTAGCCATTTTATCAAATGGTCTTCGTCCGACTGCCTTGTGATCTCTACTACTTGATAGATAATCGCCAATCTTTTCTTGGTGCGTCCACAACAATCGATGCAATGCCAATACATTCGCATCGGATATAAAACTCATGCTAGCCACATTGTCCAATGATTCACAATCGGATGCAATTTGAATGAAGAATCTAAGTGCAGACAATTGAATGAAAAATTAGTTGGATTTTATTTTTAATTTTGAATAAAATTGCAATCTAGATTGCAATAAACAAGTGATTACCTTCTTCCAGCTTCAACATGAGCTCGTAAAAAGTCGTTGAAACAAAGCATATGTTGTTCTTTAGAAAATTCAACGTGGTTGGCAATATTTTGGAGGATTTTTGACATTAGCATTAAACTTCGCTTTAATACTGGAGATACGGGTACGTTGACTATCCCATGTTCTTGTGGACTGACAATTGCTGGATTGATAAAACGCAAAAATATTACGGTTCCAACAGCGCCGATATTATTTTGCAAAAGATTCGGAAAACGCTTGCTCAAAACCTGTAAAATTATCACAATTAACGATGATTTCTTAGAATTCAAATAGTTAAATAACTCTACCTGATACAAACAATGGCACATCGAGCGTAATTGAGGTGGAAATTTATCTGCAGAATTAACGATCGCATCAAACGTCTTTTCGGTCAATGCGATCAAACTCTTTCGATTCTTTTCGAGATCATCTTTGTTACATAAGCGTGATGGGTCAACTTCATAGTCAATATTTTTTAGCTGAAGCAATGGTTCAATTAGCGGTTTCAAGAGATCTTGAAGATAAGTCGTTCCGTAAATCTATAAGAGAAAAGAAACACAAATGTCACAAATAAATTCAATTATTGCGTGCGGCATAATGTATTTAAATGCATTGAAATGTACCTTAAAACAATATGCCATAATTTTGCTGCCAAGTGAATTGCCTCTGAATAAAGTTTGCATGCAATCGGACACCTCGACTTCACGATAGAACATGTTCCATAATAATGGTGATAGTAAGTGTTTTGCATCAAATAGTGTAACCAATACGCGACTTAATTCATCCATTTGTCCAGTCGTCACAACATTCGCCAGGGCCATTGCAATTGGTAATTCACCCTTATCACTGATCATCGTAACCAATTGAACAAGTTGTTCAAATCGATCTGCAAGTACTGTTTCAGCGAGTGTATCAAATTCGGTGCCTTGTTGTAGAATCTGTGTTAATACTTCCATAAAAGCGGCTCTTGTTTGTAAATCACTATTATACCCCAAGTCAATTGAATGCATAAGACCAGAGTCGATGTTTGCACTCAGCAAATTTGACATCGCTTGGATAGTTGCATTTCGAAGTGCGGTCAATTTGCCAGCAGTGATTCGTGGCCGAATGATGGGCAATGGTGCATTATTAATGTCTTTATCTGCCTCCGTAATATCCACACAATCGTTCAGTAAATTCATGAACAATGTGAAATATTTCAAAAACAATGCACTTTTTGCATCCATCAAATCACCACGATCGGATTCTTCTGGTTGTAATGGTAAACCGCGTAATAAAGCCGCAACAGCCTCCATACATGCCGAATCCAGATCGCGAAATATTAACGTTGTATTTGATATAATTGAAATATCACCACTGTTTGACGGTGCAATTTGATGTGACGTTCCCATAACCCAATCGGTGAGATATTCAACCAATTTGTTTCGAAATTTCATTTCTTGTCGAAACGACATTTCATCTCGTCTTTTCATCATCACTTCCACCAATTGACACAGTTTGGTTTTTATGTGAATTGCGTGCACGGTCATATCCAAATGACGTACGTAGCGCACTATGCCCAACATCATTCCTTCGATACTGGTTACACCTAAATGTTCGGACACCGTTGGTTGTTCGTTTTGCTCTTTATTTTGAAGACCGCCCAATATCGATTTCATTATATAAATGATGTGCTCGATGAACAATGTATTGATGTCGGTTACAATAACCTGAAATTGAAATAAATGGAAATTCCGTAAAAATAAACCGTACACAATAGATTTGACTTGCCGGTCTCACTTGTCCTTGCTGATCGAAGAATTTTTCGACAATGCCACGAATTTGGTCAAACAACAGCGGATACAAATCCGGTGCCATTTCTTCACCCACCAATGTTTTAACGTGCTTCTGGATTTGTGGTCCGAATTTTTCATTGCTACACACAAGCAAACGGAGAAGTTGACTTATGAATTGTGTAACGGGACAGTATTGAATTTCTTGCGGGCTGGCATTCAAAGTGACCAACGACGTTGTGCTTGGATGTAACGAACCACGACCGGAGCTAAGCGATGCATTTAGCGATGACATCGATTGTTGATGTTTTAACGAATCTTCTGATTGTGAATTATTTTTCGGTGGTCTTCGTTTGTGCAAACATACACCACCGAGCGATAGTAAAAACCATGTCATATTCGCCCATTCGTTGATTTGTTCTTCTAAATCATGTTCGGAACTTTGATGACTAGCCCTGCGTTTTCCGATGGCACGATGAAATATCTCTTGACCATCTTCAGACTTTCCTTTGGGATATGATTGCAAAATTTTTGAAGTTGATTCCCAATTTCGAAACGTCTCTTCCCAAGCCGATTGTACCCCTTCATCCCAATACTGGACGTTACGCAACAAGGCCATTATTTTCTTTTGAAGCGAGAAACGACCTTGATTTTGATCATAAAATGAAAATTTCGTATCTTCACGACTCGTTGGATGTGATGCTTTCACTGTGTTCGCAACGTGTGCTAATTCTTGATACGACGGGTAGTTTGGCATTAAACTGACATTCATTAATGGCGATTCATCAGCACCGGACCGTATGTCAACCTCTTCGCACAATAGTCCAAAGCACGATAATGCGGTAATAACTGCTTCCAAATCGACTGACCACAAATATGTAAACAGCACAACCACCAGTTTATTGTGCGCATTATAGCAAATCATAATTTGTGTCCCGACATTGGCATAATCTTTGTGTCTTTGCAAAAATGTGTTTCGACAAATTAAAATCTCTTTCAACCATTTTAAGACGTCCGTGTAGTTAGCGATTTGATGTTGCACCAATTTCTGCGAAATAGAATACATCACTTGCGAACTGAGATCCCAAAATGTATTGACTGGCGCTTCCGGATTCCAGATTTCAATTTTATCGGGTGCATGTAATGCCAAAAGTGCTTTCCATTTTTAAAAGAAAAAAACAGACAAACAATTAGAATAGAAACTCTTCAACCCTAAGCAGGTTGTTATTTACCAGCCATAGCTTCTTGAGCAACGTCAGGCATCGTGGCCTGATGCACCAAACTAACCAAACCGTTTATCAATTCAACCGTTGAACTGGACACATCGTGACCGATTCGCATGATTTTCTAATAAAAAAATAAATAAACACAATAATTATGATTATTAAAAAAGTGAGCTTCTTTTGGATCTAACGATTAAACTCACCACATCGCTATTCAATTGATCGCTGTTCGCTCGAACGTTCAACAATAACATTGGATCAGTGTGAACAAGTCGAACCATAAGCAGAAGCAATGTCTTGTGCGCGATTCCATCTTCGGGTCGTGCTAATCGATTCTGACCGTCTTTGGGTTTGAGCGCTAGCGATGTAATCATTCGAAGTGGTGTGTGCGCAATATAACCTTGAGTTGCCTTGTTTAGGGTGTCTGTAAATAAATTTCGCAACGCTTCCGAACGAGCATATACCAGGTCAATTTGTGGCCACCATGGAAGACGCGGTTGCGTAACAATTCTGAATTGAGAAATATAAACGATGTGGAAAATTACGCATTGTAATTGATTTTAGAAATTGATCATCAACTGAAATTACCTTAGCAACGAGCTAACAATGACAAAATGATAAGCAGGTGGTGCGCTTAATAGAAGACAAGCCTTTTGAGCTTCGGCGTTGTGCGGTGTTATTCGAAAACATGCCACCATACAATCGATCATCAGTTCAATGTCAGAACAATTTGGGCCTAGTGCACGTGCAAACGGTTTTGATGGATTGAATAATAATGCCTACAACAAAATCATCAAATCAATAAAAAGTCTTTCCTTTTATCACATTTTTCTCCTAATTTATTCAATTATAACTCACCTTAATATCGCTTATGACGCATTGAACCAGTGAAAAAGTCACATTTGTTGATTCACTTGTTGGAATATATGTGGATATCTTGCATAATTTAACACACGCAATAGCAGCCGATTCGGTCAATTGTTTGGACGTTGCGTGTGTCGTTACGCCTTTTTTAATTGTATCAATAAAATGTTTTTTCTTCAAATGACGCGGAGAACATGGAGCACCGCTATCCGCATTTACTATTTCTTCCAACACTTTCTACGTGGTTCATTGATGAATTTTTAGAAGAAAAAAAAACAGACAAACAATTAGAATAGAAACTCTTCAACCTTGGGCAGATTGTTATTTACCGGCGATAAAACCAATAGTAAAATTTGTAGTGGCCAAACAATGGCTCTCATCTTCTTGTTGTCAACGTAAGAGTCCATTATATCAAATAAAATTTCACAGCATCTAAGGTTTTTTAGAATAATTTTCATTTAGTTTTGCAATTTTTTTTGTTTTTTTTTTTTTTCTGAATCGCTTACTTTGCAAGTTCGTCGTTTTGATTTCGTTGTATTTCGGCAAATTCCATTGGATGGTACTCAATCCAATTCCAAACTGCCCTTTCCAGTGAGGTGAGTAGTGCTAAGTGTGCCGATTTCTTAACCAACCGGAATTTTTGATTTATTTCTAATGAACGAAAATAGAATCAAGGTCAATTCGATTGGAAATATCCATTCAAAAACAAAAATACTACACACCAGTCAATAGTTTGATTAATCTCAGTATATCCAGGTCAATGTGTTGAATGAGTTCAATGTCACCAGAGTCTGGATTTTCTTCGGATGTGGCGCTGAGTTCTTGTAATCGTGCACAAATTCGATTGAACACCGCACCGAAATGATTTTGTGACAGGGCAAAAATGACTTTTGAAGCGAGCGCCTTTAGCGATTGTGCATTCGGAATCGATTCATTCACATCGATAAATTGGCACAATTCACGAAGCAATAATTTGACGTTCATTGCTTCCTCAAAACGAGATGTATCTTTGGTTTGATTGCTTAAACAACGTTCCAGCGTTGTTAAGATTATCACTAATGTGTCATGATAGCATCGTTCTGCTTCTAGCATTTGTCGAATCGCACCATTTGACCACTGTCATCGAATAAATATGTTCAGTATTATTAAGGTTAAATTGTCAATAAGCAAAAAATAATTGATTACCGATTCATTTGTACGTTGCAGCGCTTTGGTCAAACCAGCTAAGATTAATGAGAATTTATATCTTGAAATTTGTATCAAACATGTCATCGTATGCTCATAATTTTGACGCGTCTGTGGGCTATGAATCCCAACGCGTACTGGTAGCTACACATAAAAAAAAAAATTAGAATTAGCAAAAATGTGATAAATAATTCTAATATTTCGTTTAAAAAATGCCATTAAAAAGTTTATCATTTCGCAGTACGTAGTATAAAATGTTTTTTCAATCATATCAAAGTTCATTTAAAATGTTGCATTTAAATAACAAGTTAAATGGTCAAATACGATTAAAGGCATGGTTTTCATTCATAAAACTGGTGCCAAACAAGGTTATCAATTCATTATACTGATTTAATAAACAAACAAAATTAAAATTGGCCCATTTAAAGGTCGCTCCTGAATCAATAAGCAAGTACTTATTTTATACATTCCATGATGCTATTTTGTTTGTTTTTATCGATCTCACTCAATCATCAATAAAAATTATATTCCTTCATTCATAAGAAGGAAAGAGAGAAGAGTTAAAGCGCACGCGACCAAACGAATTAAAAAGCAAAGGGGACAAGCGAAAAAAACACACAACAAATCATAAATATTTCATTCATAAAAGTTGAAACGCCGTCGTCGACGACGATGTTATAAGGTGAGAAGAAATATAGAACCACGACCACCACAAGCTTAGCGATATAGCACAACAGAATATGGAAAGTACATCAACAACAGTGAAAATCGAATTAGACACGAAGCAAAACGAATGAACGAATTCATTGGCACATTCCTGTACACAGGCGCACAATGCACAACCACAACGATGAATGAGCGAATGTATATTCGTGTATGGTTTGTCATTCAGTTTCACTTTTCAAGAATAAAAACAATGCGCCCACGCGACTTTCTGTGAATGTAATACACCGAGTTCGATTGACACAATTGAGAGGAAAATTCATTCATACAGTTTTAATATCGTTACAACAATGACGGCGACGACCACAACAACAATATCCAATCATGTACGGTAATGCTGTGTGGGAGTGATATGGTACATTGATTGTTATGTGAGGTGTTGCGTCCGCTGCTGCTCTGTTTACAACAAGTCCTATCCATACATTCATATATGTGGATGAACGCACCAGCTATACACACATTCGAACACGCACATCCATAACAACAACAGCAGCAGCAGCAGCTTTTGGCCCATGAAGCGCACGATAATATCGATCGATAAACACTTTTTTTTGCACAGTCTCTTGAATCTCAATTCACTTTTTACTGGGTTTCGACTTTTTTTCCCGTCATCTTGGGAGTTGACGTATGAAAATTTTATCTCCATATCTTCGTCACATATGCAACTGAATGCATTGATTCCAATCATTTTCACTATGATTTTGGGAAAATTGATAAAAAATTGTCTGTACCTGCTCTTCAAATCGTGACAAAATGCAATTGGCCCATTCGCCTGGCTTTTGCGTTGCCATTTTTTTATCCACACCCGCACTTTTCACGCACAACAGTTTTTTATGCAATTTTTCTTTTCACTTTTCATTCGTCACAGTTATTCACATTTTCTTTCACAATATTTTATCATATTCGCAATATGGAATTTTGTTAAAATTTCTTTCTTGGAAATCAGTGCGTCCTTTTCCCTTTTTTTCTCAGTACTGAAGAAAAGACGGAAAAATTTAATGGTCTGGGTTGTGAGCGTACAGGCAGCACAGGCGTTTCACATAGAACTGTGCTGTGCGACCTAATACAATATAGGAATTCACAATGAGACTAAATGTCACAACAACACACATACTATATGCTGCTTCACAGATGTGATTCTTCTCCAAGTTTAGTTGCCGAGCATTATAAAAACAATGCTCAGACACATTTTGACAGCGTGAACGTGCACGAAATGCACAAGTCAAGCAAACGATTGACAGCTCTCGAAAAGTCAAGCTTTGTTTTATTTCATGTGTTGATGACAACAGACGCTCTCAACTGATATTTTTACTACTTTTTGTGGACTCAGTTTTGTTGGGCATATTTTTGAAGGTTTTGACATGAATTTTCAACTATTTAATGAGATTTGAATGCAAGAAAAAAATTATTTGTTTTTCAAAAAGAAAGATACATACTCACGAGAAAAATGGATTACCTCAATTGCTTCATTTGTAATGCAGAAACAAAGTTAGAAAATAGTGTGCGAATTCGAACAAAAACCAAATATTCGGGCATCGGTGTTCATGGCATTTTACAGAGTTTTGTGAAAGAATCGAAACGTTTGTCGTTCAGTCCGAATGACATTGTTTGTGAACAGTGCTTTCAGAAGGTGAATCAGTATGATTTAGCATGCCGAATGGCAGATGACATACAGCAAGAGATCACAAATGCTCTTTATTCGACTGAACAAGAGTATTTGAGCGAAGAGGTCGAATATTTTGAGGAATCATTGTGCGATAAACAGTCAAGAGTCCTATTGACAGCTGATTTTGAAGAGTAAGTTTTCTGTCGCATCTATGTCTGTCCACATATTTATAGTAAAAACTTAATCGAATTAAAACAAAATATATAGATTCCAGGAAAAATATGACGTTCAATATTCACAGGAAAAATCCGATGAAAATGACGATGTTGTCATTTCAAACATTACCGATGACGTAGTTGTGGAAGTTTTCGAACCCTCATCAACAGACGAAGCAACCGAACAAAAGAAGCGGAAAATGCTCACGCGCTGTGAAATATGCTACACATCACTTCATACGAAGAGAGACCTCGAGGTATAACAATAAATAAAAGTAAAAAAAAAACTATGACTAATTTAACTTTTTGGTTCTTATGCAGCAACATCAATTGCGATATCATACACTCAAAAAGTGTGGCGTATGTCAAGTCGTGCTTAAGAACCTATTTGAGTTTAAAGAACACATGCGAAAAATGCATTTGATCGAACACGGTTCGAATGATGAAACCGAAACCAGCGACCGAGATGGACCGGCGGTTAAGACTGATTTTCGATGTGAAATCTGTGGAATGTCGGAAAGCACTAAAAAATCGCTATCCAAACACATTGCATTGCATGACAATCAATTGAAGTGTGTCATTTGCGGAGCAATATTAAAACACAAAGCCAACCTAGTACTTCACATGCGAATTCATGTGAGTGTTTTCATTTCGAAATTTATTTACCAAATTGGAACTGAAATTATATTGTTTTATATAGACTGATAAACACTTTTTCAAATGCGATAAGTGCGAGAAGACCTTTGTCCATAAGTCATCGTTACGTATGCACTTGCAGACGACCCATACGGAGATACGCAATAAGCAATGCAGTGAATGCCCCTTAAAGTTTAAAACGACGTCACAATTAAATCAGCACTTGGTATGCACCGAACATTCAAAGTTAATTGGAATAATTAATTCATTTTTTCATCTTGCAGGTCACACACAGCGGCGTACGAAATCATAAATGCCCAGTTTGTCAAAAAGCCTTCGGGCAAAAATACAATATGACCGCTCACTATAAAAATCATTTTGCACAAGAATCAAAACAAGCCCGAGCAAAAGCGGTGCCAAAATCATCGATTAAAGTGGAAATGGAACTGTGAAATTGAACCATTTTATCAACAATAAAAATTTACAAATAATAAAACAATTGAATCCAATGAAACTTAGTTTATATGAACTCTGAAACTGCGCATCAAGTGGCGCCATCTATCGCAGAACCGTGTCTGTCTTCATAATTTTAACTTTGACATTCAATTGCATTCTTCGAACGATAGACACGTGCATCTCTGATTCTAAATAACATTTCGAAATTTTTGTTCATTTTGTAAATAAATTGGTGGTAAAATAGAAAATGCCGAAGGTAATAGCTGAGAAAAAGCACCGAATCCACCAGGATGTGCAAAAACAAGGTTTGTAACCATTGAAACAGTGTATTTGAGCTTCCAAAGTAATTCGGTTCAAAATTTTGTCACAGGAATTGTCTTCAATAAGGATTTCGGTCAACACATCCTCAAGAATCCGCTTGTTATTACGAGCATGTTGGAAAAATCAGCATTGCGACCCACAGATGTTGTGCTGGAAATTGGTCCAGGTACCTTTGCAACCCAAAAGTTTTTATTGCCAAACCTTTTGATTACTAATCACTGTTTATCGAATTTAATTATTTAAAAAAAGGTACTGGTAATATGACAGTGAAAATCTTAGAACAGGCAAAAAAAGTGGTTGCTTGTGAAATCGATCCGCGGCTGGTGGCTGAATTACAGAAGCGTGTCCAGGGCACACCGTATCAATCGAAATTAAATATCCTTATTGGTGATGCATTGAAATCAGAATTTCCATTCTTTGACATTTGCATTGCAAACGTACCGTATCAAATCAGTTCACCGCTTGTATTCAAATTATTGCTTCATCGGCCAATCTTTCGATGTGCAGTACTAATGTTCCAGCGTGAATTTGCACAGCGTCTGGTTGCCAAGCCGGGCGATAAACTCTATTGTCGCTTAAGTGTGAACACACAATTGTTAGCTCGTGTCGATATGCTCATGAAAGTCGGAAAAAATAACTTCAAACCACCACCAAAGGTCGAATCATCAGTTGTACGAATTGAACCGAAAAATCCACCGCCAGCTATAAATTTCACCGAATGGGATGGCCTAACGCGTATTGCATTCACGCGAAAAAATAAAACATTAGCCGCTTCGTTCAAACAATCATCAGTTTTACAGGCACTTGAAAATAATTACAAACTTCAAGCTTCACTCAAAAATGAGGTAATTATCCTATGTTTTATTTGACAAAATTGATGGGTTCAAAGTAACATACAATTAGAATGAGTCAATTTACTAATATGTTTTCGTCGTGGCGCCTTAATTTAATGCTTTTTGTCTTTTGTTTTGCAGGAAATCAGTCCGGAGTTTGATATTAAAGAGCTTGTAGAAAAAGTATTGCAAGAGGCGGAAGCTGACCAGAAACGTGCCCGCACAATGGATCTTGATGATTTTATGAATTTATTGTACTGTTTCAATAAACATGGCATTCATTTTAGTTAGATTACCTTTTTGCATATGAATAAAATGCTTTTTCTTGTGTTAAACTTGACATTGTCTTCTTTACACGTCCCCGCATTTGAATGATCTGAATTCCTAAACAAAGCGGGAACAAAACATGTTCAAAAAAAGATACTGATAATACATTTGTTCATTTGGCTATGTTATTTATTATTATGTTATTGTTGTGAACGATTTTATAATAATAATGTACATGAAGAATAGAGCTCCGGGAGAAACAACGAAATTCATAAGAAAAGAAAAATGTTCTAAAGTCATGAGCGGCTCATTGTCAACACGAGCACGCAGCATATACAAAAAAAGGGAAGAGAATTTAATAGAATTGATATTTAAATTGTTTTTTTTTTTTGTGTTGATGGTGTTGTTGTTATTGATGATAAGAGCAAAGGAGATGGTGGAGTGTTTGTGTAGCCGCAACTTAGAAACCATGCACTTTCAGTTGATCTGATTTGGCTAAACCAGCTTTAGTAAGCCATTGACATATGTTTTCACGTTGATCACCTTGCAGTTGCAACACTTCACCATATTCCGGATGCTCAATCACTGTGCCATTGCATGCAAATTCCTTTTTACAGGCACGTACAATTTTCTTCAAATCATATTCGGATGATAGACCTTGTACCGTTGTTAATGTCTTGCGACCACTTCGCTGTTGAATTCGAATGTGCACGAGGCCGTCTTGTACGCTGTCATCAGCACCCTTTGTTGCTATTGATTCAAACACACATACGCAAAAACGAAAGAAAAAAACGAAATACAAATTAAATTTTATATTATTGATTGACGCAGATTAGAAGAAAAAGATCCTGAGAAAAAAAAACAATAGAAAATGATTAGAATCACAAATCGTGCGATACAAAGACACAAATGTGACGTTTGCATTAATTAGTGGGGGGATTATAATACGGAAACTCATTGAGTAGCTTGATTTTAATATATGGTGATTATATGAATCATCATCATAGGTTGCTGGTATATACATATGCACCGATTTATGGAAAATAACCTTAAAATTTCGAAAGAAAAAAAATTGTTGCCATTTTTTTCATTCCAATGAAAATTACAAAAAATAATCACCGAAAGTATTTTGGCTTTTACGTCGAATCAATTAACGACTCGAAATTGTCTATCGAGAGAGATATAAATATGCTGATTCGTCATATCTAAGGTTCACATTGTGCACTTTTGAAGCATTTATTTTCCATTGTGAAATCACACCTTTTGATTACTAATCACTTTTTACCGATTTTTTTTTTTTTTTTTTTTGAACAAAAGTTTTGAGAAGCATTCCGCTCATTAAATTATTTAAAACGAAATAGTTTTTTACTTACCATCAGCAAATGGGTCAAAAGTTGTTAAATTTTGGATGGACATACGATAAACAAATAAATCGACTGGAAAAATAAATTGTTTCTCGTTTGATTGAGTGTTTTTCTAGCTTTTGCAAAGAATATCTCGGCTTTCTATTTCGCTATCTTATAGTCGTTTATGTCTTATACGCACTCTTAAATGCTTACTTTGCGAACTTTTTGGCTACTTAATTTCGATTGAAATGAAAAACGTGAACAAAATCGCACACAAAAAAAATGCCAGCAACCAGAGTGATCTTACTTAATGTGTATGATAATCGAAAATGTCTGTCGTTCGTCGCGTGTCACACAAGAAAACCAAAATCATGTACACATGCAAATATGGCTGCGGTATTCAGTGTCTATGTTTGAGTGCGTGTACTTGTGTATTTGTGATGTGATAGCGCTGGTATCGGTAAAAATTTCCATTACCATTTCGCGCCATCTTCGCATACTTTATGGTCAAATAACTATTTAACAACGCAAAACCGCATCGTTATAAATGAAAACAAAATAATTCGGAATAAACCGATAAAATTATGCGGAAACATTTCAAAAACCAATTTATTATTTTATTATATTTCACATGTGAATGAAATCGAATGTACTTAAACGTTCAATTTAAGTATTTTGTGCGCCCTTAGAGTAACACACGAGACTCAACGTTTGACATCTGTCATAGAAATGTGTGCAGGATAGTTAGTTCTACATAAGGAAAATAGAAGTTATGTGAACATTCAACATTGTACGTTCAAAAATTGAAACGCAATTAAATCGCAAAAAAGGAAAAAGTAATTTTCAAACGAACAAATTTTTTTTGAAATTAGCCACAAAAATGGCTTTTCTTCGTACATCCACACTTTTTACTCTTCGACGAGTTCAAAGTGCTCCAACCGCTTTCTACCACAAAAATGTAAGTGAACAATTCCGTTTGTTGTGTGCAATCAAACATTTAACAAAAATAAATCGAAACTATTTTTAGGTTTTGGATCATTATGAAAACCCACGGAATGTTGGCTCAATGGATAAAGCGGATAAAAACGTTGGCACTGGTTTGGTTGGAGCTCCGGCTTGCGGTGATGTGATGAAATTGCAAATTAAAGTCGACGACGATGGTAAAATCATTGATGCCAAATTCAAAACATTCGGCTGCGGATCGGCCATTGCATCCAGTTCATTGGCAACCGAATGGGTGAAGGGAAAAACTCTTGACGAAGCTGGTGAATTGAAAAATTCCGATATTGCTAAGGAACTTTGCTTGCCACCCGTCAAATTGCATTGCTCAAGTACGTATCAAAACAATCGAAATAGAAATGATGATAGCTCCTATTTGTGAAACGTAGTTAAATATTGATTTATGAACGATGACTCATAGATAAAATATTTTTATTTCCATTTTTAGTGCTAGCCGAGGATGCAATTAAAGCTGCTCTTGCTGACTACAAAATCAAACAGAACAAAGCAGACAGCAAATAAAATAAACTGATTAAATGATATATATATACGTTTTATTTATGATTTTCAAAATTGAACCAACTAATCAATCACAGTCGTTCAAAGACGATCATACATCACACTCATCCCACTCTCTGTTTGCATGCACAACAACAATTTTGAAAATAAAACTATTTGCTTGTTAAACATCAGTTGACATAAAAAGTAAAAAATTTCCACGTGAGATTAATAAAAAAACCTCATTAGTAGAGGGTTAAAGCAAGTTGACTCGACTTTTCTTTTGCAAAAAACTTTTTTGTACATTTTTTTGAAAGTTCTTTATAAATATGCGAATGAAACCAAAGTTGACATGAAGAAGTATTTTTTTTGTATTCAAATCATTTAAAATAACTTTTATGAAGCAAATTATTTTTCTACTTGTTTTCACGCGCCAAACAATGCACTGTTATTCGGACTTCAAATAAATAAATCAAATAATTAAAAAATTGTCATCAATTTATTTTAAATTCTGAACAACATCCTTTGTTGCGCAAACTATTATCCATTAATAAGAATGTTATACTTTCTTTCAAGCGTTGCTGTTTTTCGAATTCTATCGCGTATCATCAAAATGGATAAAATACACAATAAAACGATAAATATGTAAATAAACAGTTGAAATCTTTATTTATAAATCGATTTGTTTGCTAAATGACTAATTGTTATAAATTGTTTGATAATTACACAAATTTGGTGGCGATAGCCAGAAGTTTTGTATAGTCAGCACCTTTTGAATGTGTTTTTTCTTTCATGATTGTTCGCAACACATTTGGAATTGGACAATGAATACGAGTTCCAAGTGGTGTTCCGTTGTCATCAATCAAAACAACATTATTCGTATCAAACCGTGGCATTTTTGGTTTTTGTTGTTGTTTACATCCGACGAGAATGCCTTTCTTCTTTTCACCTTTTATGGCCAATAATACCATGTCACCAGTAAATCCAACCATTTTCTTATTATAAACGTGAATGACACGAGGTGGCTTTCCCTCAGCCATCGCTTTTTTTCCAATTTCACAATTGTCCACCACTCTTAATCTTGCCATTTTCCGAATCTCATTGCATACAGCGGTGGTGTGAAATCCATTCGTTTGCACCGATGTTAACGTCTTCGGTATCATCCGATTCAATAACATTTTGATATCTAGAAATTCTGATCGTGTTTACAGAAAAAAAAAAGATTTTTAATTCATTTTCATTCACTTAAAGGAATTGAACTATGTTAAATTACTTACTTTTCCTGGTGCAAGTGATTTCGACCCGTGTATATACTTGGTTATGTTTCTATTTTGGATACTGTCAATTTTTTTATTGTGTGACTTCACAGCGATTGCAGCGCCACCGTTTTCAATTTCAGTGGAGCAACAAATGGAGACGGTTGAGATGATCATTGATGTTAAAAGTTCGAAACGCTTTAATAACGTCGCTTAATAGAAAACAGTGAATTTAAAAAATGGATATGAGGGAAAAAAAGACATCAGATCTATATTATGTATGAAATTCACTGTCGAGAAATAAATATGTTTGACTTTTCTAAATGGACTTCAAACGAGAGAGAAAAAAATGCATGACACATCAAAGAACGCACAGAGGCCAAGTAAAGATCTAACGCTTCAAAAGTAAACAAACAATAGATTTTCTCTGACAATGCATTTATTTTGAAAAATGCGTCGAAATGAGCAAAAAGGCTCGTTGCACGTTAATGACGTAAACGTTTAAAGACTTTATGACATATTATCACAAAGAATCATCATAATGAGGTGTATGACAACAGCAGAATTTCTGATGAAATTATTAAAATTGCTTCGACGCAACGATAAATAGGGCGACGAAGACGATGGTGATATGCAGAAGATGGAGAATATTTTATTCTCTTCAGTCAGGTTGATTGTTTGGCGAAATCAACGAAAGTGTGTCTGATGAAAATAAAAACACATGCACATACACAACAAATGATTATTACTGCAATTTTGTGCTTGTGGAGCGTAAGTGTGAGCTCCGTTAAACTCAAAAATGCATATTTTATAATAGGTGCTCACGATGTTTGCGCTTGAACAAGCAGTTAAGAAAAAAAAACTAAGTGCTATCAAAGCAAAGGTATTGTTATACGATGCCGTTATGCTCAACCTCCCGAACTAAGGTTGAATGCTGCACGCGAAAATTGCAAACGCAATCACCTTGAGGAAGAGAATTCATTTAACGCAAGAAACGAAAAAAAGATAAAGAGATTTATTAAAAAATAGAGAAAAATTGTAGTTTGCATATGAACACTTGAAATTCCACTAAAAAAATACACGATGGTGAAGTGATTAAATTGCTGATGTTGGACGATCGAAAAAAATCAGGTTCTCTTATTAAATTATGTAAAACGTGAGCTCACAAGAATTTGAATTTCTTTGAATTATTCAAAGAACTTTTGAATTTGACTGAAGTTCCTGCCGAAGCATGAAATCTTTCATTAAAATAAATCATCGGTCATATAATTTGCCCATTAAGTTAGATTATGAGTATTGTCCGGTTTTTTAATTTCTTTCACATATATCCAAAATGTATTCGAAAGCCGCAATTCATTCTTCACTACCAGAGAGTCAGTGGATAATATTGAATATTTTTTTTAATTAAAAATACAAATATTATTGTCCTCACTACGCTTGAATTGCAATTAAAAACAATACTGCGTATACACATTGAATGACGATGGCTATAACGAGCAGAAACCACAAAATGGGAAGAAGAAAAAAAGTGTTGCATTTTCTTTGTCTTTGTGGAAAATTATTACTTTTTTCAATGCATGTGATTCCTTTCCATTCCATTCCGTTTTATAGCAATATCTAAATGAAGTCTTGTGGCTTCATGCACGTATGAAATATGAGTCGAATTGTATGCTCTCGATGATTTTAACGCAATTAAAATAAGTGAATGGAAAATGACACAAATGCCTTGAACATAACCGTTAATTCGACGCAGAAGAAAAGAGTCATAATGAACTAATGTCGGCACACATCCTGTCTTTCACATCCATACAGCACACGAGATCACAACCGAGATGAAGCGATTCAAAAGACATCTCGTTCATATTTTAACGTTAATTACAGTCATTCCATCGCTGAATTATATGAAAATGATAACGAATGACACATTGCATTAGAAATGATGAGCTTCGCTTCATGGCGAAATGCGTTCCGTCTCCTTTGGCAAATTGAATGCCATAACTAAAGATAGTGATGTGAATGTAGGTCTTTCACACTTAGATAACGCACTCAGCGCAAATTAGAAAAAATGTAATTTCATGATTCAAGTGCTCGGTCTTAATTTTCTTAACATTTTCACAAGAAAATTCCACAATTCCACAGAGTACTAGTTCGATTCAGTATGATGAATTAAAGAATATTGTGTTTGATTTTAAGTTTGAATCACATTCTTGATTTTTCCAACATTACCCATTACAGGACTGAAGTTTATCGCACGAATAATAAAAAGTGTCGTGCATTCGATGAGAATTGTGTATTGAAAGATCGTGTATCGTTGTCATTGTCGCAGTCGTCATCGTTGTCATCATCACCATCGTTGAAGAAAGTAGAAAACGTAAGAGACACAGAAAAACAATATTGTGGAACGGGCTGGGCTGTGTACTGCGTGAAGTAGGGTGGTGCTAATGGCAATGAGAAAAATGAAAAAATGGAAGAAAATACAGAGGCGAATACTTTTTGTTGTTGTTGTTGTTGAATGTTTTCTCGAATGAGTACAGCCAAGTATCAGAGGTGCTTTAGCGGAAATAAATTATACGTTTTCCATCACACATTCGAATGTAAATAGAGACGAAAGCGAATGACTTTTGCACCTCACGATCTATTTGCACGGTATTTTTTTTGGTGAGAGTGCGAGATTTTCAATTGAAAATCTCTGTCGTTCATTTACTTTGTCATTTTTCTTAACGCTTTCAAATTTATTCATTGCATTGAAAAATCTCTAACGAAGTTTCCAATTAGTGGCAGTTGCTAAGATGAAAAACAAAATGGAAAAATTCACATCGAGAGACGCAAGAGAATTTATTCAAATTGAATTGAAAAGGATTCAAATTGCGAATGTCGCAGGAAGGTGACTTCATGCCGAACACTGCTGTGCTGCTCCACGATTGACAATTGCTAAATTATAATATTAATGAAATGATTTTATAATTTCATAATTCTAATGTAAATTGAATGGTGTGCACCGTACGCGGCACATAATTGTTGAAGCACCTTTTGCAAAACGACTTCACAATTACACAAAGATCTAAAAAGAAAAATATATTGACGCTGAATGAATGAGTCAAATGCAAATTATATTCACGCTCATTCTTTGATTTATTCAATTTTCCATTGAATTCGCAATTAAATTTAATGATGTTGTTAATCAATGTTCGTCTCCACAGAAAAATGCGAATTTTCAACGCTTTTACCATAAAATCAACCGACTCTCGATTATTATATGGTATACTTAACTTTGACATGGCTGGTTGATTAACGATTAATTCAATAAACGTTGAATTTCCATGAAATTCCAAAATGCGAAAATTCGCATTTCAAACGAATGACATGAATTGAAAAGGTGCTTTTATTGATCGAACAACAAGTTCAATTTCTAAACTCATTATTTGTCAAATGTCGTCTTAAATCAATGAAAAATATCGAATTACCGTTTCACAAAAAAAAACGTTGATCTTTGAAATACGATTAAATGTTCTAACAAAACTGCAATTATTTAATGCGAGAAAATTACGTTGCGATAAAATCCATCGTCGAACTTGACATCATTCATCAAAGAGCTTCTCATGTAATGAATACGCTGCGTATATAAATTTACAAAATAGACAAACTAATCGAGCAACAATCGCTCTTTGATTTGAATAACAACCAAAGACAAATCCAAAACCAATGACGAAATGTGTACTACACACACTTTCAAGCTCCTTCTCTCCCTTTCGCTCGTTCGCTCTACAGAGAGGCTAACATTTTTTTATTCACACGTTCACTCCAGATCAATTCATAATTAGGATCAAATTTCACGTCTTTTTCTTTTATCAATACACCATCCTTTCGTCATCTCAACTTCATTCAATAAATAATTCGACTCATTCCTTTCGAAAACCTAATACTTCTTTTTTTTTACCTTCGGCAACCACAAAATTGAGGACGCACACAAAGTGTGAACGAATAACAAAAAGAATTGAGTTAATTGTCTAAATCAAATCTCATCGTCACTTTTATTTAAACAAATGCCCAACTACTGCTCTCGTTTAAATTCTGTACAACTTCTATATTTTGGCGCTTTTCAACATGGTTGGTTTTGTTTGAGTTTCAGTTTTCTTTTCTTCGCTTTAATCGCAGATAGGAGAATCATTAAACAAATTGGATTGAATGAAACCACACAGCCTTTTGTGTGGGAGCCTTTTTTTGTTGCGCCTTAAAACCAATGACGAAATGTTTTGATTGATATATCAAAACATCCTTTGTTACCTGTGAAAACAGTGAAAAGGATATCTGTTGTTCGGAGTTCTTTTTCTCTAAATTTCTATATACGTGTGCATAAGATCAGAACTCTTGAAAACGAACAAAAATATTATTCTTTTTTTCAATGAGAATAAAAATTAATTGTAAATGTTATTCTCGTTCAGTTCAACAATGAACTACACGATTTACGGGTGTGATTTCTGTTGTCTTTGCAAGGATTACATTTACAGAATTGACTAAATATTGTTTTTTTTTTATATATAATTAATCTTTTTTACCTTTTACATGTAATGATCCAATTGAATCTATAATAATGAAACGAGCTCAGAAGAAGTTGAATCTTGAAAAAAGTTCAATAGTTCTGAAATTAATGATAGTTTTATCAAATAAATGAATACTTCCATTAATAGATTTAAATAAAAACGCCCAAAACATTGAAAGTCTTTGAATTGTCTGACATTATTTTCTTCTTGGACTAAAAATCCCCTGAACAACATTTCAATAAATATATCATTTGATTATTTTAAACTAAGTATTTTGCACATTTTGAATATTTTAAGAATTAAAATCTAAAATAACAAGCTCTCACAGGGATAGAATTCCCAAATTGAATCGTTTCTTTTCAAATAAAATTGTAATAAATGAACAACAGTCTATCATTTGATAAGTTTCATTCATATTTATTCTGCGAATTCGTTGATCATTTGGTTTTGTATTAGTTTGAATAAAAACCACATTATTTGTTATACAAAATGCCACTTTCATTTTCCAATTTTTTTTTCTAAGAATTTGAATAAGGTGAATT